CACAGACACATGTACACAAACTCACACACACAGACACATGTACACAAACTCACACACAAACATGTACACAAAGACCACATACACAATCACTCATACACAAGACACCCCCCCAGCAAACACATACATTGTGCTGAATTAGTAACTACACTCAACTTCGCTACATTGAATAAATCAATATTAATATTATATAACTATATACAAATATGTTTTCAAAGATTCACAACAAATATTTTTTTGCAACTAGGCGAGAGAAAAAAAAAAACCACTTCGTCCAATTCCCACGAGCGATTCTAACACGTTTAACGCAGACAACAGAAGGAATTCAAGACATTCATCTGCTACGATGTCCGAGTGAGAAGCAACAACAACAGAGCGTTCAAAGTCGGGCAACCCAAGAACCAACAACAGGCTCCTCCTGGGGAGCTACCAGAACCCCCTCCTCGTCGGTGTGCGACCAGTGGCAGCGCCGCTCCGGCTTCGCCGCAAAGCTCGGCGAGAAACGCAAAACGTTTTGCGTTTCCCTCCGACCGCGTGTCCCGACCGCGCTATCGGCGGTCGCGTCGCAGGCCTCACGCGCAGCGACCGTCCCACGTCGGTCGACGGACCCGCGACGGAAAGAAGTGGGTGTCGTAGAGCTACCTACGAGGTCCCCCTCATCGCCTGACCTCCGCTCCACACGCGGTAGAGGGCCGGCGCTTACCCGCCCGCTCTGCCGTTCGTCTGTCAAACTGATATTTTTTTTTTTATAATTCTCAAGTGCTGGAATTTTGCCCAAATAAGCGCTTAACATTTACGGATTTTTTTTTTTTAGACGTGTGCGCGCCCGCGACCTGGATCAGAACCCAGGATGTCAGCGGTGGTGGATCATCGTCTCCGACTCTGCTGAGCAGCCGCCCGGGCACCCCGACAAAGGCGACTTCCACGCGGACTTTCAGTTCCGTTTTTGGGTTGCCTCCTACTTTAAACAATCGACGTAAAACAGAAATGTTAGTTGTGCAAATGAACATATTCCTAGCGACTTAAATCACAAAGCTCTCTGTCTCAAGTGGCAAGAGGAGAAATGCAAGATAAGCCGGCAGACGGGCGTGAGACTGCCCAACGATGGGAGCGAGGCCCGATCTCCCAGTAGCTGGGGCTGGTGCTTCGGACTAACTGCAACGCCGCGTGGTTACACAGGAAAACAACTGGCGAGTCCCCGAGGCTCGTTCTCAGGAGCATGCTGCTGCTACTGCCCCAAGCATCATCAATTATTTTTGTCAACTGCAATTTGACGTAAGAAGGGTTTTGCTTTGTGCGTGGTAGCACTGCCGGCGAAAGCAGAGAACGCGCGCGGCCCAATGTAGCGGTGCCGCATGCCGTGCTCGGCTCGTGAAAGGTAGAGGCGCAGGCCTGCAATTCCCCGCGTGCGCCACTGCTGGAGGCAGGGCCCTCCACGGGCGAGAGCTCGCGCGAGGGTGTTTTGGCCTACTCTTCCACGTTGACCGCACGACTGCCCACACTTTACCCCGCCGAAGTCTACAACTTCTAACCGGTGTCAAGCGATGTTAGCGCTGGGCAGGTCTTTCTAGCCAACCATGTTGGGACTGTGATTCTGACCCCCGGCGAGAGGCAAATTCAATCGTCACTTTTTTGCGTTCGTTTTTGTGTTTAGCAACAACGCACCAAACACGATTGTTTACAATTAACTCGTGGTAGGCTTTCGCGACGAATATTATTATTCGTAATAAAGTTTTCTTCTCTCTCTTTGTTGGATTAAGACCGCGCAAATGTAAACGTGTGGTGAACCCACCTCCACCCAACACGGCCAATCGGGAAGGTTCATCGCGTTATGAACAAAACGTGCCAATTAGTTACCACTTCAGCACCACCGCTGTGCGCGGGTCGGAGAGCAAACCCACAGCAACAACATTTACAATCTGAGTTGACGATATTTCGCTGGCGATTACAACCGGCGTCATGAGCGGGCCATTGTACGTATGCTGAACTTCTTTTGCACCGCACGTAGCCAACCGTGCAAGTAGGAGGCACCAGAAACACTCGGCACGTCCTGTTCCACGTGACGAACCCTGCCGATTGGCCGTGCCGCGTGGAGGCGGCTTTACGACACGCTCACATTTACGCGGTTTCGAACCCAACAAGGAAAACTTGATCGCCAACGATTGTTTCAGCTCGCCGCCAAGCCAACAACGTAACTGGTCTCACAAATAGCTTCTGTGCGGTCGAATGCCGTCTTGGTAAAATGCCGCGTCCCGCGCGACCCCCCCCCCCCCCCCCCGAGTACACGCGGTGGGGGTGGGGAGGCAGTCTCTGGCTACTTCGGTTTCCTTTCGCCAAGCAGGAATCCAAGCGATTGAAAACACCGGACCACTCAATGCAGTACAGCAGCAGCAGCAGAAGCAGCAGCAGCCTCGCGTCAACTTAGCCTCGTGACTCGGCGAGGCTTTGCCGGATAAGCAACGGGACGCCGTTTAACCGGGGTGAAAGAGTTGTTTTGTTCACCGGTTACCGTGAACCCGATATGGGGAACTTTGTTTCACAGCCCGGCGATCAGTGCTCCCGTGACGTTTCGTTTCATCGGCTTCGCCAAAACCGACCGCTGAAACCCACGGCGTCCCTTTGTCCTGCGGACAGCCTGGGCCCCCCCCCCCTTGTCAACGTAACGTGGAATTTCCACCGCTGGCCGATGGCCGAGGATGGCGACGACGGGAGACATTCCGATGTTCGGATATCGAGCCAAATCTCCAATTGATTGGTTGCGAGCTCAAGTGATTTACCGCAGGGGTTGGGGCGGGTCGCACTGATCTGTGAAAATACCCAAAACCCGCCGGGGCTAACGAGGTGGCCAGATGATGGCAACACGACAACAGATTCTTGGATCCATCTGTGTGGAGGTGTCAATATTATCCTCGCGCATGTCCTGGTGGTTTTCTGATTTCCTCCCGGGATGCTGGTCGTATTATTTGTCTCAGAACATCTCTGTTCTGTGAACAGAAAGCCACCACCGTTTGCAGCCCTCAGCAAGCAGTGGAAATTCCACATTCCCATGTCAGGGACAGGCCGTCCAAAGGACAGACAGCCACGATTGGCTTCCCACAATGCGTGACTAGTTTTATAGACCCAGACAAACAAGTGGGTGGGTGTGAACTCATGTCCTTCGTGCTCTCTGACCTACGACGACTGGCCACTGGAGGTCAGAGGTCAGAGTTACAAACTATTCTTAGAGATATTTTCACAAAGATGATAACGTTGACTTGTTTTCATAATTGAATATTGTTCAGTTGTGTGTGCGCGCGCGTGTTTTTATGAATGTGCACGTGATTTATAGTCATGTACATTTATTCATGTGCATCCGTTAGGAGTGGTGGCGCAGCGGTTAACGCACTACGCTGCGGGGCCCCGCAGTCTGGGTTCAATTTCTGTTCACGACCAACAACAGTGGCGAATGTTTGAACCGGTCGTGGACCTCCCTTAGGTTGACTCGGCATTAATCGAGTACCTGGTGTGCAGTGTGTGAACATCAGCACTGGGGAGGCAAAGGTGGCCGGGCGTGGTGTTGGTCACCCACCCCCTCGTGTGCCGTGCCGGCCTTCACAGCTGTTACGTAACAGCACTTGCCCAAACAGCCAGTTCAAGGCCAAACGGGGGATATTTGTATTTGTCTTTGTGTGTGTGTGTATGACGTCGTTTTGTTCCAGTATTAATAGCTGCTCGCGAACACCACTTGCCCCAATAGTCTATGGAGGCTATATGGGGTATCTTAATCTTCTTTGTGTATACAAGCGTGCAAGTGTGATGAATGTGTGTGTGTGTGTGCGCACATGCAGAGCCGTCCCCAGGGTGACGGTGAATCAGGCCCTGCGCTTTGCGTTCCCAACGCACTTTTACGTCACGGCGTCAGATGCAATACCTCCGGTTTAGTTTGAAGGCGGGCGCCCGCGTGGTGGGATTTGCCTCGGGCCCTGCACCGACCCCTATGGACAGCCCTGTATACATATGAATGTACGTGTGTTTATACAGATGTGTGTGTGTGTGATGTGCTGTGTATACAGATGTGTGTGTGTGTGTGATGTGTTGTGTGTGTATACAGATGTGCTGTGTGTGTATACAGATGTGCTGTGTGTATACAGATGTGTGGGTGTGTGATGTGCTGTGTGTGTATACAGATGTGTGTGTGTGATGTGCTGTGTGTGTATACAGATGTGTGTGTGTGATGTGCTGTGTGTGTATACAGATGTGCTGTGTGTGTATACAGATGTGTGTGTGTGTGTGATGTGCTGTGTGTATACAGATGTGTGTGTGTGTGATGTGCTGTGTGTGTATACAGATGTGCTGTGTGTGTATACAGATGTGTGTGTGTGTGATGTGCTGTGTGTGTATACAGATGTGTACGTGTGATGTGCTGTGTGTATATTTTACAATTATATTCCTTCACAGGAGCCTCTTTCTGGCAGCAGACGTACACCTTGGCAGGGAGACTGACCGGGAGTCGAACTGTGTAGGACCTTCTTTGATGAGGCTCCCACTGCTTCTTCGTTGTGATATTTCATTTTATTATCGGAGACCCTGAGACCCGGTCTCCTGGACCCGAGTCTCAAGACCCTGAGACCCGGTCTCCTGGATCCGAGCCTCAAGACCCTGAGACCCGGTCTCCTGGATCCAAGTCTCAAGATCCTGAGACCCGGTCTCCTGGATCCGAGTCTCAAGACACTGAGACCCGGTCTCCTGGAGCAGAGTCTCAAGACACTGAGACCCGGTCTCCTGGATCCAAGTCTCAAGATCCTGAGACCCGGTCTCCTGGATCCGAGTCTCAAGATCCTGAGACCCGGTCTCCTGGAGCCGAGTCTCAAGACACTGAGACCCGGTCTCCTGGAGCCGAGAGTCAAGACCCTGAGACCCGGTCTCCTGGGGCCGAGTCTCAAGACCCTGAGACCCGGTCTCCTGGATCCGAGTCTCAAGACCTTGAGACCCGGTCTCCTGGATCCGAGTCTCGAGACACTGAGACCCGGTGTCCTGGATCCGAGAGTCTCAAGACCCTGAGACCCGGTCTCCTGGGGCCGAGTCTCAAGACCCCGAGACCCGGTCTCCTGGAGCCGAGCCCTCCTGTCTATCTGGAGGCCATGGATCCAGCTCCAGAAGAATTGGTACCTCCACTCAGCTGTGAAAATCCACTCTGGCAGGACTCCAGGCTCGTCATGGAGCCCCTGAGACACGGGACGACGGACGGATGGACACAAGTACACAGACAAAAACACACGCATACACACGCACACACAAGCACGGAGAGTGGCGATTAGCATGTTCACATGAGCGTGTGTGTAGTATATGTAGCGTGTGTATGTAGTGTGTGTATAGTGTGTATGTAGTGTGTGCAGTGTGTATGTAGCGTGTGTATGTTGTATATGTAGTGCGTGTAGTGTGTATATATGTAGCGTGTACGCAGCGTGTGTATGTCTATATGTAGTGCGTGTAGTGTGTATATATGTAGCGTGTACGCAGCGTGTGTATGTCTATATGTAGTGTGTGTAGTGTGTATATATGTAGCGTGTACGCAGCGTGTGTATATCTATATGTAGTGCGTGCAGTGTGTATATATGTAGCGTGTACGCAGCGTGTGTATATCTATATGTAGTGTGTGTAGTGTGTATATATGTAGCGTGTACGCAGCGTGTGTATGTCTATATGTAGTGCGTGTAGTGTGTATATATGTAGCGTGTACGCAGCGTGTGTATGTCTATATGTAGTGCGTGTAGTGTGTATATATGTAGCGTGTACGCAGCGTGTGTATGTCTATATGTAGTGTGTGTAGTGTGTATATATGTAGCGTGTACGCAGCGTGTGTATATCTATATGTAGTGTGTGTAGTGTGTATATATGTAGCGTGTACGCAGCGTGTGTATGTCTATATGTAGTGCGTGTAGTGTGTATATATGTAGCGTGTACGCAGCGTGTGTATGTCTATATGTAGTGCGTGCAGTGTGTATATATGTAGCGTGTACGCAGCGTGTGTATGTCTATATGTAGTGCGTGCAGTGTGTATATATGTAGCGTGTACGCAGCGTGTGGATGTCGTATATGTAGTGCGTGTAGTGTGTATATATGTAGCGTGTACGCAGCGTGTGTATGTCTATATGTAGTGCGTGCAGTGTGTATATATGTAGCGTGTACGCAGCGTGTGTATGTCTATATGTAGTGCGTGCAGTGTGTATATATGTAGCGTGTACGCAGCGTGTGTATGTCTATATGTAGTGTGTGTAGTGTGTATATATGTAGCGTGTATGTCTATATGTAGTGTGTGTAGTGTGTATATATGTAGCGTGTACGCAGCGTGTGTATGTCTATATGTAGTGCGTGCAGTGTGTATATATGTAGCGTGTACGCAGCGTGTGTATGTCTATATGTAGTGCGTGCAGTGTGTATATATGTAGCGTGTACGCAGCGTGTGTATGTCTATATGTAGTGCGTGTAGTGTGTATATATGTAGCGTGTACGCAGCGTGTGTATGTCTATATGTAGTGCGTGTAGTGTGTATATATGTAGCGTGTACGCAGCGTGTGTATGTCTATATGTAGTGCGTGCAGTGTGTATATATGTAGCGTGTACGCAGTGTGTGTATGTCTATATGTAGTGCGTGCAGTGTGTATATATGTAGCGTGTACGCAGCGTGTGTATGTCTATATGTAGTGCGTGCAGCGCGCGTCTCACCTAAAGTCGTGCGAGGCCAGCACCTCGGTGTAGTACATCACCTTGCCCTTGTGCGTGCCGGGCAGCTGCAGCGACGCGATGACGTCGTCCACGCGGGGCAGCGAGCCCCCGCCGGCCCCCACCCCGGCCAGCCGCCACTGCAGCACGTAGCGGCCCGGCCAGCGCGCCACGTGCGAGCCCTGGCACACGCGGGCAAAGGTGAGCCCGCGGAGCCTCGGCGGAGCCTCGGCGGAGCCGTCCGTCGGGGCAAGTGCCGCCGAGCGAGGGGGCGGACGCCGCGAGGCCGAGCACGCGAGCGGCGGGGTGGCTGGGTGGGTGGGTGGCCTGACAGGAGGCCGGCGGGCACCACTTGACGGGCGCTTGGGCTAGCGGTGGCCAGGCCCGCCCCTGAAAGAAGAGGCTACGTAGCTCGGCAGGCTGAGCATCGTCAAAGTGGAAAGAGGGATGAAAAATAAGAATAGGTTTTGCCCTGTCTGGAAATAAAAGAGGTGTTAAGATGTTCAAACACCAAACAGATACCTTTTGCAAGGCATATCACGTTTGCATGTTTTTGCCACAAGCACGTGTGCTTAATGCAGACTTGATACCTTGCAAAAGGTATCGATTTAGTGTTTGAACACCTTGACACATGTTGTATTGCCACAAAGGGTAAAACCTATTCCTATTTTTCATTATTTTGGATACTGGCAAAAACGTCCCAGAGATACCAAAGGAGCGAGTTCGCTCGCTAGTTTTGCACTCACCTGAATGCTCTCCCCTTCCCTGCAGTGCAGTGCTGCCTCCACAGGGCTGTACACCCAGCCCTGCTGCTGCTGCTGCTGTTGGTGGTGATGCAGCTGCAGCTGCTGCTGTTGCCAGCTCCTCTCCACGCTGCTGCCGGCGCCGCCGGCAGCGCAGGCAATCGCCGAGCCGAGCGACGCGCTGCTGCTGAGGCCGCCACCGGCGACACCGGCGACACCGCCGCCGCCGGCGACGATGCCGACGCAGCCGGCGCCGCCGCCGCCGCTGCTGGCGCTGCGCGTGGGCGCAGGAGCGCGGCGACTGTGGTACAGGTTGAAGGCCACGTCGCCTTTGATGACGTCGAAGTCCCAGGTGATGACGGACGACGCTTCGGGGATGTCGATCACGACCTGAGACGGGGAGTTGGGGGATGGGGGGGCGGGTAGGAGGGGTTGAGACGAGTTGAGAGGGGTAGGGGGGGCAGCAGGAGAGGGGGGTCCCGGTCACAACCGTGTGGCTGAGTGGTCATCTTCGTCATGTCTCTTGGGTGGTGTATCCCAGGCTCAGTGGTGCAATAGACCGCGATGATCTTCTTGACCACACGTGCTTGCTTGTCTGTTTGTGTGTGCGTGCACGTGTATGTATGTGCCCGCATGCGCGAGTGTTTCGGTGTGTGTGTGTGTTAGCGTGTACAGGAGTGTTTCGGTGTGTGTGTTAGCGTGTACGTGAGTGTTTGGGCGTGTGTGTGTTAGCGTGTACGTGAGTGTTTCGGTGTGTGTGTGTTAGCGTGTACGTGAGTGTTTCGGTGTGTGTGTGTTAGCCTGTACGTGTTTCGGTGTGTGTGTGTTAGCTTGTACGTGAGTGTTTCGGTGTGTGTGTTAGCGTGTACGTGAGTATTTCGGTGTGTGTGTGTGTGTGTGTTAGCGTGTACGTGAGTGTTTGGGCGTGTGTGTGTTAGCGTGTACAGGAGTGTTTGGGCGTGTGTGTTAGCGTGTACGTGAGTGTTTCGGTGTGTATGTTAGCATGTACGTGAGTGTTTCGGTGTGTGTGTTAGCGTGCACGTGAGTGTTTCGGTGTGTGTGTTAGCGTGTACAGGAGTGTTTTGGTGTGTGTGTGTTAGCGTGTACGTGAGTGTTTCGGTGTGTGTGTGTTAGCGTGTACGTGAGTGTTTCGGCGTGTGTGTGTTAGCGTGTACGTGAGTGTTTCGGTGTGTGTGTGTGTTAGCGTGTACGTGAGTGTTTCGGTGTGTGTGTTAGCGTGTACGTGAGTGTTTCGGTGTGTGTGTGTTAGCGTGTACGTGAGTGTTTCGGTGTGTGTGTGTTAGCGTGTACGTGAGTGTTTCGGCGTGTGTGTGTTAGCGTGTACGTGAGTGTTTCGGTGTGTGTGTGTGTTAGCGTGTACGTGAGTGTTTCGGTGTGTGTGTTAGCGTGTACGTGAGTGTTTCGGTGTGTGTGTGTTAGCGTGTACGTGAGTGTTTCGGTGTGTGTGTGTTAGCGTGTACGTGAGTGTTTCGGTGTGTGCGTTAGCGTGTACGTGAGTGTTTCGGTGTGTGTGTGTTAGCGTGTACGTGAGTGTTTCGGTGTGTGTGTTAGCGTGTACGTGAGTGTTTCGTTGTGTGTGTTAGCGTGTACGTGAGTGTTTCGGCGTGTGTGTGTTAGCGTGTACGTGAGTGTTTCGGCGTGTGTGTGTTAGCGTGTACGTGAGTGTTTCGGCGTGTGTGTGTTAGCGTGTACGTGAGTGTTTCGGCGTGTGTGTGTTAGCGTGTACGTGAGTGTTTCGGCGTGTGTGTGTTAGCGTGTAAGTGAGTGTTTCGGCGTGTGTGTGTTAGCGTGTACGTGAGTGTTTCGGCGTGTGTGTGTTAGCGTGTACGTGAGTGTTTCGGCGTGTGTGTGTTAGCGTGTACGTCAGTGTTTCGGCGTGTGTGTGTTAGCGTGTACGTGAGTGCGAGCGGCACCTCGTGTGGAGCGCCCTTCTGCACGCAGGCCGACTGGTAGATGGTGTCCGTCCACAGGCGGATGTCGTCGCCGTGCTCTACGTCGTCCCCCGTGCGGTACAGTGACTTGGGCACCAGGCCGCCCTCCGGAACGTCACACTACACACAGATAAAGATCCCCCGAGTAGCCTTAACAGAATGTTGGGGCAAGTGCTGTTAGCGAGCGGCACCTAGGAAGGCCGGCATGGCGCAGGAGGGGGTGGGTGGCGAGCACCACGCCTGACTGCCGTTGTTTCCCTCATGGCGATGCTTGCACACCGCAATGGGTACTCATTTGAGGCTGAGTCGACCTAGGGGGAGGTCCAGGACCGGTTCGGAAAATCGTCAATGATATTGGCCGTGAGCGGGAATCGAACTTTGGTCACCGGGTTCGTGACGTAGCACTCACTCTCTCACACACTGTCACTCACACTGTCACTCACACCGTCACTCACACCCTCACTCACTCACTCTCTCACTCACACACCGTCACTCACTCACTCTCTCACTCACACACCGTCACTCACTCACTCTCTCACTCACACACCGTCACTCACTCACTCTCTCACTCACACACCGTCACTCACACCCTCACTCACACCGTCACTCACAGCCTCACTCACACCCTCACTCACACCCTCACTCACAGCCTCACTCACAGCCTCACTCACAGCCTCACTCACAGCCTCACTCACACTCTCTCACACACCGTCACTCACACCCTCACTCACACCGTCACTCACAGCCTCACTCACAACCTCACTCACAGCCTCACTCACACCCTCACTCACACTCTCTCACACACCGTCACTCACACCCTCACTCACACACCCTCACTCACAGCCTCACTCACAGCCTCACTCACTCTCTTACACACCGTCACTCACACCCTCACTCACACTGTCACTGACTCACTCTCTCACTCACACACCGTCACTCACACCCTCACTCACAGCCTCACTCACACCCTCACTTACTCACTCACGCTCTCACACACCGTCACTCACACCGTCACTCACACCCTCACTTACTCACCGACTCTCTCACACACCGTCACTCACACCCTCACTCACAGCCTCACTCACACCCTCACTTACTCACTCACGCACTCACACACCGTCACTCACACCCTCACTCACTCCCTCACTCACACTGTCACTCATTCTCTCACACACCGTCACTCACACCCTCACTCACTCTCTCACTCACACCCTCACTCTCTCACACACCGTCACTCACACCGTCACTCACTCACTCTCTCACTCACACACCGTCACTCACACCCTCACTCTCTCACACACCCTCACTCACACCCTCACTCTCTCACACACCCTCACTCTCTCACTCACACCGTCACTCACACTCTCTCACTCACACCCTCACTCTCTCACTCACACCCTCACTCTCTCACACACCCTCACTCACACCCTCACTCTCTCACTCACACCATCACTCACACTCTCTCACTCACACCCTCACTCTCTCACACACCCTCACTCTCTCACACACCCTCACTCTCTCACACACCCTCACTCTCTCACACACCCTCACTCTCTCACTCACACCGTCACTCACACTCCCTCACTCACACCCTCACTCTCTCACACACCCTCACTCTCTCACTCACACACCGTCACTCACACCGTCACACCCTCACTCACTCTCTCACTCACACTCTCACCCTCTCACACACCGTCACTCACTCTCTCACTCACACTGTCACTCACTCTCTCACTCACTCTCTCACTCACTCTGTCACTCACACTGTCACTCACACTGTCACTCACTCTCTCACTCACACCGTCACTCACACCCTCACTCTCTCACACACCGTCACACCCTCACCAGGCAGTCTCCACCCAGGAAGTCGGGGATGACGTCTTTGTCGATGTAGTCCACCAGGCCGCCGGGGCCCTGGTAGTCGTTTCCACCGTAGATTAGGAACTTGTGCCGCGTGTTGTCGTTGATGAAGGGGCTGACCTGTACAAAAGACAAAGGCCCCCCGTATAGCCTTAACGGACTGTTGGGGAAAGTGCTGTTCGCGAGTGGCAGCACCTATGAAGGCAGGCACTGCCGGGTTCATGGCGCAAGCGGGCTAACCACTACCACTACCGTTCCCCACCAAGTGAGTGACACACACATGCAAAAGACAAAGACCCTCAAATCAAGTTTGACCCTCCTATAGCCACTAACAGAACAGCACCGATGAAGGCCGGAAAGGCACACGAGCAGATGGGTGACCAGCACCACGCCCGGCACCCGAGCTGTAATGTTTTTACGCAGCGCACTGGGCAGACGCACGCTCACACGCACGCTCACACGCACGCACGCACCAGGGTCCAGAGCACGGGGAAGACGCGGGGCGCTCGCACGATGAGCAGCCGCCCCAGGGTCTCCGGGTAGTTGGCCTCCACCACCTCGATGACGCGCAGCAGGGCCTTGACGCCCGGCCGCCACAGGTGCCGCATGTTGAGGCCCTCCAGGTCCACCAGGCACGTCCACGAGCTGCCGTGGCGACGGCGGCGGTGGAGGAGGAAGGGCACGGCCCAAAGGGGAGACGGATCGGTACGTTAGAGGAGCCGCGCAAGAAATGGGGGAGCAGGTGGTGTCACGGGCGTGAGATGGTGAAGCCGCAGCGCGCCGACGCCCTGTGTCAAGGCGGTTAGGACGAGGGATTGTGTTAAAGTTGGTGTTAGGAATTTTGTAGTGGTTCACACCAGGGAGATAGAGACTTCTTACAGGCAACACGTGTATTTAACAATAAAGCCCTAAACACGAAGGGGTATAGTAGCTGCCCCTGTACCAGCTACCATAGGGAGGTATCCCCTCTGGGCTGGCTCACCCTAGCTAACCCTAGCTAACCCTCGCTAACCATCGCTAACCCTCGCTCACCCTCGCTCACCCTAGCTCACCCTAGCTAACTCTAGCTAACCCTAGCTCACCCTAGCTGACCCTAGCTGACCCTAGCTGACCCTAGCTAACCCTCGCTCACCCTAGCTGACCCTCGCTGACCCTAGCTGACCCTAGCTGACCCTAGCTGACCCTCGCTAACCCTAGCTCGCCATAGCTCGCCCTCGCTCACCCTAGCTCACCCTAGCTCACCCTCACTAACCCTAGCTCACCCTCGCTAACCCTAGCTCGCCATAGCTCACCCTAGCTCGCCCTAGCTCGCCCTCGCTCGCCCTCGCTAACCCTCGCTAACCCTAGCTCACCCTCGCTCACCCTAGCTAACCCTAGCTAACCCTAGCTAACCCTAGCTCACCCTAGCTAACCCTAGCTCACCCTAGCTAACCCTAGCTCACCCTCGCTCACCCTCGCTCACCCTAGCTCACCCTAGCTAACCCTCGCTCACCCTAGCTCACCCTCACTAACCCTAGCTCACCCTCGCTAACCCTAGCTCGCCATAGCTCACCCTAGCTCGCCCTAGCTCGCCCTCGCTCGCCCTCGCTAACCCTCGCTAACCCTAGCTCACCCTCGCTCACCCTAGCTAACCCTAGCTAACCCTAGCTAACCCTAGCTCACCCTAGCTAACCCTAGCTCACCCTAGCTAACTCTAGCTCACCCTCGCTCACCCTCGCTCACCCTAGCTCACCCTAGCTAACCCTAGCTCACCCTAGCTCACCCTAGCTAACCCTAGCTAACCCTCGCTCACCCTCGCTCACCCTAGCTCACCCTCGCTCGCCCTCGCTAACCCTAGCTCACCCTAGCTAACCCTAGCTCACCCTAGCTAACCCTAGCTAACCCTAGCTCACCCTCGCTCACCCTGGCTCACCGTAGCTAACCCTCGCTCACCCTAGCTCGCCCTAGCTCGCCCTAGCTAACCATCGCTCGCCCTCGCTAACCCTAGCTCGCCCTAGCTCACCCTCGCTCGCCCTAGCTAACCCTAGCTAACCCTCGCTAACCCTAGTTAACCCTCGCTAACCCTAGCTAACCCTCGCTAACCCTAGCTCACCCTCGCTAACCCTAGCTCACCATAGCTAACCCTAGCTAACCCTAGCTAACCCTAGCTCACCCTAGCTAACCCTAGCTCACCCTAGCTAACCCTAGCTCACCCTCGCTAACCCTAGCTAACCCTAGCTAACCCTAGCTCACCCTAGCTCACCCTAGCTCACCCTAGCTCACCCTAGCTAACCCTAGCTAACCATAGCTAACCCTAGCTAACCCGAGCTCACCCTAGCTCACCCTAGCTAACCCTAGCTAACCCTAGCTCACCCTAGCTCACCCTAGCTAACCATAGCTAACCCTAGCTCACCCTCGCTAACCATAGCTAACCCTAGCTAACCCTAGCTCACCCTAGCTCACCCTAGCTAACCCTCGCTAACCATAGCTAACCCTAGCTAACCCTCGCTAACCCTAGCTCACCCTAGCTCACCCTAGCTCACCCTAGCTAACCCTAGCTCACCCTAGCTCACCCTAGCTAACCCTAGCTCACCCTAGCTCACCCTAGCTCACCCTAGCTAACCCTAGCTAACCCTAGCTCACCCTAGCTCACCCTAGCTAACCCTAGCTCACCCTAGCTCACCCTAGCTAACCCTAGCTCACCCTAGCTCACCCTAGCTCACCCTAGCTAACCCTAGCTCACCCTAGCTAACCCTCGCTAACCCTAGCTAACCCTCGCTAACCCTAGCTCACCCTAGCTCACCCTAGCTCACCCTAGCTAACCCTAGCTCACCCTAGCTCACCCTAGCTCACCCTAGCTCACACGGGTGGCTATCTCGGACCGGACCCCGGCTTGGGTCCGGGTCTTGTAGTCGGGCAGGTCTTCTCCAGGTGACAGCTTCCGTCTTGATTCTTACAATAGCCAGCCGGACCCGTTCAGGGCCCCGGCTTATATTGCCCGTGGCGGGGCTAACTCCGCCCCGAGCCACGCCCCCCTTCTCGAGCCTTCGAGAGGGACCTGGTCCTGGTCCCGTGGTCCCCCCAGCCCCCTCCTTGGGGCCCCCGGACCGGTACCTCCGGTCACCAGGCCTCCGGGTTCACACGGAGTACCATGGACCCCTGTGTGCCCCTGCACCGTCCCTGGCAATCTTGCCCCCTAACCTCCAGAGGATGGCACCGCACGTGGAGTGCAATGCCATCCAACCTTGATCGGTGATCTCGGCCGGCACCCGCTAGGGCCGGTACTGCATTCCCCCTGCAGCGCGTAGGTGGTGTGAGCGGCGTGTGTCGTGCCTCACACAGGCCGGCTTCACACAACATGCAGTCACATCCGCCGATGCCACTACAATTGTGTTAGGGATTATTAGGGCTAGTGTTAGTGCTAGGCTTAGTGATTATTATTAGGGCTAGTGTTAGTGATGATTACTGGGGCTAGTGTTAGTGATTATATTATTAGAGCTAGTGTTTTTGCTCGTCACTCGCCGCACAGCAAGGGTGTGTGTGTGCGCACGTGTGTGTGTGTGTGTGCACACGTGTGTGTGTGCACGTGTGTGTGTGTGCACGTGTGTGTGTGTGTGCACGCGTGTGTCCGTTTTCTGTTAGAGTGGACCTAGCACTTGCACGGTCACCTGATGGGGTGCCCCGAGTTGTTGGTGTTCTCTTCACACCTGCGCAGGCCCTCCTCGTTGATGGACAGCACCTGAGCCCGCACAAAGCAGCATCGCAGCGGCCTTAATAGGCGCTCGCTAATAACGCTCAGTAGAGCCGTTCCATCGAGAAAAATGGTCACGCACTGTGTGTGTGCATAAGTGTAACGTGTGTGTGCATATTGTGTACGTGTGTGGAGAGCGGGAGTGTCGCGGTTGGCGCTACGCTGCGCTACCAACTCGACAAAGGCCCGAGTTGGATTCCTGCTCACGGCCAAAAACAGTGGTGATTATCTGAACCGGTCCTGGGCCTCCCCTAGGTCGACTCAGCCTCAAATGAGTACCTGGTGCGGTGTGTGAACATCGCCACTAGGAAGACAAAGGCGGCCGAGTGTGGTGCTGGCCACCCACCCCCTCGTGTGCCGCGCCAGCCTTCATAGGTGCTCGATAACAGCGCTTGCCCCAACCGTTTAAGACTATACAGGGGATCTTTGTCTTTGTGTGTACATGCACACGCATATGTGGACAGCGGTAGCGCAGTGGTTGGTGCACCGAGCTACGAACCCGGCTACCCAAGTTCGATTCCCACTCACGGCGAACACCCGTGACGAATATCTTAAAACGGTCCTGGGCCTCCCTGAGGTCAACTCGGCCTTAATTAAGCACCTGGCAAGGGAGGTAAACCTCGGCGCTGGGGAGACAATGGTGACCAGGCATGGTGCCAGCCACACCACTCCTCATAGGTGCGTCGTACCCATCTTAATAAGGGCTCACAAATAGCCCTTTCCCCAACAGTCTGCGGAGGCTACACGGGGGATCTTTGTCTTTGTGTGTAGCTCACGTGTCTCAGGAGGGACTCCTCCCCCATTGCCTTCACCAACCCCTTGGTGTCCATTTGACCCAGACGCAGGATGTAGAGGGGACGTCCATCTGCACCCATCATCATTGCATTGTTAACACGACACACTGCAATTACATTGTATCATGCATTACACTACACACACTACATTGTATACTGCATTACACTACATTGTATCATGCATTACGCTACATTGTATCATGCATTACACTACATTGTATCATGCATTACACTACATTGTATCATGCATTACACTACATTACACTACACGCTGCACTACATTGTATAAGGTATTACACTACACACTGCACTGCATTGTATAAGGCATTACACTACACACTGCACTACATTGTATAAGCCATTACACTACATGTTGCACTACATTATAGAATGTATTACACTACACACTGCATTGTATAATACATTACACTACACGCTGCACTACATTATAGAATGCATTACACTACACACTGTACTGCATTGTATAAGGCATTACACTACACACTACACTACATTGTATAAGGCATTACACTACACTCTGCACTACATTGTATAAGGCATTACACTGCACACTGCACTACATTATATAATGCATTACACTACACGCTGCACTGCATTGTATAAGACATTACACTACACACCACACTACATTGTGTAAGGCATTACACTACACACTACACTACATTGTATAAGGCATTAGACTACACGCTGCACTACATTATATAATGCATTACACTACACTCTGCACTACATTATATAATGCATTACACTACACGCTGCACTACATTACATAATGCATTACACTACACACTGCACTGCATTGTATAAGGCATTACACTACACTCTGCACTACATTACATAATGCATTACACTACACTCTGCACTACATTGTATAAGGTATTACACTACACGCTGCACTGCATTGTATAATGCATTACACTACACTCTGCACTACATTACATAATGCATTACACTACACTCTGCACTACATTGTATAAGGTATTACACTACACGCTGCACTATATTGTATAAGGTATTACACTGCACACTACACTACATTGTATAATGCATTACACTACACACTACACTACATTGTATAAGGTATTACACTACACCCTGCACTACATTGTATAAGGTATTACACTACACACTGCACTACATTGTATAATGCATTACACTACACTACATTGTATAAGGCATTACACTACACTCTGCATTACATTACATAATGCATTACACTACACTCTGCACTACATTGTATAAGATATTACACTACACGCTGCACTACATTGTATAAGGCATTACACTACACGCTGCACTACATTATATAATGCATTACACTACACACTACACTGTATTGTATAAGGTATTACACTACACACTACACTACATTGTATAAGGTATTACACTACACACTACACTAGATTGTATAAGGTATTACACTGCACTACATTGTATAAGGCATTACACTACACGCTGCACTACATTGTACAAGGCATTACACTACACGCTGCACTACATTGTATAATGCATTACACTACACACGCTGCACTACATCAGACTGCACTGCAGCGTACACACGGCGCCACATCGCACGATGCGGAGCAACGGCGCGGTCGCAGCGCGCACGCACCGCGGTCCTGGTAGTGCCACCCGCCGGCGTAGTAGTCCGTGAGCGCCGGCGGCAGCCCCCAGGTCTCCAGCAGGTAGTCCACCTGGTACTGCTTGCGCCAGCTCAGCGACTGGCAGAGCATCTCCTTGGCCTTGTCCACGTTGAAGTCGCGCGCCCGCAGGAAGCGCAGGATGTGCTCGTCCTTCGGGATCTGGAGGTCGCGCAGCAAAGACAAAGGTCCGCACACCCCCCCCCCCCCACGGGAAGCCTTCAAACATACTGGTGGGGCAAGTGCTGTTACCAACTGAAGCTCAACTTTTTTGTCGTGGGTATTTTACCAGCTAAGGTCCACTGAGCTACGCGGCTCTTTTTCAGAAGCGACCAGGCCACAAAACTATTATTTTTGTTTTTTAAATCTTTAGAACTGCTTGTTACGTTTAGTTTAAATTTCGATTTAAAGCTTTCGTGACTGCAATGATTCGTCTTCTTTGGTTCTTTCGGTAAAGTCACGTAGAATGAGAATAAAATAATAAATTGATAAAATAAAATAACACAATAAGGACAGCGCTGTCCTACCAGACAGTCTCGTCCCTTCACCTGATGAAGGCCGCTTGTGTTGTGGCCAAAACGTCGTGAGAATAATATTGTGTTATTTTATTTTATAAATTTATTATTTTATTCTCATTCTACGTTTAGTTTGTTGCCCTTCCCCCGATCAGCATGGCTGGCTATGTACAGTGCGAAATAAGTTCAACACGCACACATACAAACAAATGATGGCTCAACGAAGAGGCTTATCGCGTGGGAATTTATAGCAGCAGCCGAATACTCTTGAGCGCGTGGTGACGTTGATTCTAAATGTGGAGAGAATAACCGAAGGACCTGGAGAAAAATCCACGCGACCACGGGGAGACAGACGCAAACTCCACTGTTAGCATGTAGCTGTGACCCACCTCTTCTCCCTGGCTCCCCCGTAAATCCGGTACCCACTAACCGCCCTCCCTCCCTATACCCCATCCCTATTCACCATATCACTTTAGTTACCATACTTGTACCACTCGTAACCCTTGTAAAGCGACCTTGGATAAAAGCGTTAGAAAATGTAGGATAAGATGAAGGCCGGCACGGCACACAGGAAGAGGGTGGGTGGCCGGTACCACGCCCAGTCAGCCCGGTCTCCCCAGTTGCGTTATTTACACAGCGCACTAGCTACTAGTTTAATGCTGAGTCGAACTAGAGGAGGCCCAGCACTGGTTCGTATATATACATCGCCGATGTTGGTCGTGAGCGGGAATCTAACTCGGGAAGTCGCACAGCACTCACACGCACAGGCAGAGATATTGCACGCGTGGTTCATACGCACATACACGCGCTCGGGATCTGCTCCAGATTTTTTAATTCATAAAAAAAACAACCCAAAACTATTTTTCTTTGTCGACACCGGGAAAACCTCACCAAGTCTCAAGAATCTCTTTCAGGAGGGTCCTGCTAAGTCTTTGCAGTAGTAGAGGGGCAACGTTGCTGTTGTGTGTGATCCCAATTGAGTAATTTGGAGTATGTTCAACTTCTTTCGCACCGTATGTAGCCAACCACACTATTCGGAGTTGCAGGGGAAGGACAACAAATTAAACACAAAAATCAGTTCTAAAAAAAAATAGTTCGTCAATCTAGATGATGATTTAAAAGTGCCCAGCTCCGGTGGCTTCCTAATATCGGAAGAGCGTTCCAGACGGCCGTAGAAGCGCATCCAGAAGCGCTCGATGGAGTGACCGTCTTTGTTCGATGGCCAGCCAAAAGCCGCTGCCATGAGGATGACCGGAGTTCGTGTGATGGTTTCATTTTTCAGCACTGGGATGTTTTGGGCCCAAGAGCGGCAACATTGTCTGCTATGGTGGGAAACTGTGAAACACGGAGGACGCCCACGCAGAACACCAAGTCCACATCGAAAGGTGCGCGAGCCAGGAATGAAAACCCGGCCCTCGTGTGCCACTCTTACCGACCAAAACGCACACCTATACAAGGTATTCTGGATGATCTACTGCACCGCGGGCTTTCAGATGCGCGCTTCTGCGGCCGTCTGGAACGCTCTTCCCTCCGATAATAGGAACCCACAGAAGCTATGTGCTTTTAAATCATCCACATTGACAAACTCATTTCTTTACAACTGCTTTTTGTGCTCAGATTGCTGTCCTTCCTTCGCAACTCAGATTAGCATACGGTGCGAAAGAAGTTAAACATACATGTACATACATACTCGCGCACACCACTACTCCGACAAGCGTGTACACCAAGCCGGCCTTAACAGGTGCTCGCAAACAGCACTTAACCCAATGGGCTACAACAGGGGGCTGGACGGGGGATGTTTGTCCATGTCTGTAAACATGCAAGACACTTCACACGCTCCAAGCCAGAAACATCCCCCCGTCGAGTCAAATACTGACGGAGAAAGTGCTGTCACAGCGAGCACCTACTAAGGCCGGCACGGCGCACGAGATGAAGTGACAACGCCCGGCCGCCTTTGTCTCCCCAGTGCTGACGTTTACACACTGGCACCAGGGACTCATTTAAGGCCGAGTGAACTTAGGGGAGGACCAGAACAGGTTCCGACAACTCGTGACGTGACCGGGAATCAAATGGAGGTGGCTGGGGTCGTACTGCCATGTGCCAAGCACTGCGCCACCGTTCCCCACTGACATACAAAGACAAAGATCGCCCGTGTAGCCTTATTGGGGTTGTGGGGTAAGTGTTGTTCGCGAGAAGCACTTATGAAGGCCAGCATGGCACACGCGGGGGTACCCACCCCCAGCACCACGCACACACACACACGCGCGCTCACTGCAAAGCATGCAAAATCATTAAAATCTTCTATGTCGTATGCAAAACATATCATAATGAACGTAACAATAAGTGCAAAACACTACAATAGCTAAAACGTTTCAATCTCGAACTTATTAAGGAGCAGATACATGCATGCTTGTGATGCTGGGCAAGAGGAAAGGATCATGAAACCCTGTCTCTTGCAGCTGGATCTCAAGACACTGAGACTCGGTCTCCTTGAGCCGAATCTCAAGACCCTGAGACCCGGTCTCCTGGATCCAAGTCTCAAGACCCTGAGACCCGGTCTCCTGGAGCCGAATCTCAAGACCCTGAGACCCGGCCTCCTGGAGCCGAATCTCAAGACCCTGAGACCCGGTCTCCTGGATCAGAGTCTCAAGACCATGAGACCCGGTCTCCTGGATCCGAGTCTCAAGACCCTGAGACCCGGTCTCCTGGATCCGAGTCTCAAGACCCTGAGACCCGGTCTCCTGGATCCGAGTCTCAAGACCCTGAGACCCGGTCTCCTGGAGCAGAGTCTCAAGACACTGAGACCGGGTCTCCTGGATCCAAGTTTCAAGACTCTGAGACCCGGTCTCCTGGAGCCGAGTCTCAAGACCCTGAGACCCGGTCTCCTGGAGCCGAATCTCAAGACGTCTGGAGATCGCCACTTGACTATAAACTCGTTTCTGTAGCCCAAGCTCACCCTGTTATGAACGGCGTTAAACATTAAGCAGTGTGGGGACATCACAGCTAATTGTTACCTCCGCTGAGCTGCCGTCTTCTGCCTCTGACTACGAGAATGAGTGAGCGAGGGAGACATGGGGACAGGGACAGACAAGTCGGAGACAGACGCATACATACATAAGACGATGAGGAGAGGGTGGACGTGGCAGAGGTTCACAATGGCCGTGTTGGGAGACACTTCAGCCGGGTGCAAAGTTTAAACCCTGGGTTTGGACGTCTCTCGCTCTCTCGGGGTTCGTAACGGCCGTGCAAATGCATGGACGTAACATTGAGATTTTGATTTACTTTAGATTGTGTGTACGTCTGTGTGTTGTGTGCATAGGCGTTCAGTTGTTTCATGTGTAACAATGTATTTGCGTGTACTGTGTTTTTACTGCGTGTATGAGCATCACATCCTGCCCGTGTGTATACTTTGTGTGTACTGTGCGTGTGTACTGCGCGTGTCACACCTTGGCCTTTTGTATGTACTGCACGTGTGTACTATGCATGTGTACTGCACGTGTGTACTGTGCGTGTGTACTGCACGTGTGTACTGTGTGTGTGTACTGCGCGTGTGTACTGCGCGTGTGTACTGCGCGTGTGTACTGCGCGTGTGTACTATGCGTGTGTACTGTGTGTGTACTGCACGTGTGTACTGCACGTGTGTACTGCACGTGTGTACTGTGCGTGTGTACTGCGCGTGTGTACTGCACGTGTGTACTGTGCGTATGTACTGTGTGTATGTACTGTGTGTGTGTACTGTGTGTGTGTACTGCGCGTGACTGTCACACCTTTCCCTTGTGGGACTCCTGCAGCCAGAGTCTCAGGCGGATGAGACAGCTCTCCTGCAGTGGCGTCAGCTCCCCCAGGTACCGCTCGATGTAATCCGCGTCCAGCTTGTCTGTGCACGGACACACAAGACAAAGATCCCCCACATAGCCTTAGCAGACCGTTGGGGCAAGTGCTGGCACAACAACAGCCGCCGTTCGCCACCAAGTGGCTGCGACGTCACCACGGCGCCTAAGCCAGGCTCGGCTCACCCCGAGGCTATCGCGTGAAGGGTCAAAGGCTCGCTGCTGGCACGAGGTCACGGGACACTCAGCAGGTGCCGTGGGTTGTCTGACTAACAGCACTTGCCCCAAAATTGTGTTACAGGCTACGCGGGGGGTGTTTGACTTTATTGTGTCGTACCATCGGGCGTGGCTGTGATATTCTCGCACAGGAAGGAGGTGGGGACTCCCAGGTCGGCTGCGGCCGGAGACAGGGCCGAGATTAACACTGCACACGCGCGCACACGCAAACACAAGGACATACAACACACACACTATCATCATCGTCGTCATCATTAATATCTACAGCCATTGATTCTCCGCTGCTGGATGATGGCCTCCCCACGCCCGTCACCGTCCCACACGGCCGCACGACGGTGCAATCCATCTCCGGCGCGGGGGCCGATGCCATCGCTCCGTCTCCGCTGGACTCGTGCCCCTGGGCATTCCCCACTTTGGCTGCCGTTCCGTCTTGTCCATCGGTCCTCATCCTCGGGAGACGTTTGAACATTGCGTCCGTTCCCCGATCCACGCGGTCCTCTGTGTCCCTTCTCTCCCCCGGCTATCATTCCATCACCCGCCCATCGTGCCTTGTAATGTCCAACCCAAGTATACTTCTATTTTGCTCATAGTCACGAATTATGCACACACCCAACGTACACAGACCACGCACTTAAACACTCGCACAAAGACAAATATCCCCGTATAGCTTTAACAGACTGTTGGGGCAAGTGCTGTTAGCGAGCACCTGAAGGCCGGCACGCCACACAAGGGAGTGGGTGGCCAGCAACACACCCGACCGCTTTTGTCTCCCGAGTGGCGATGTTTATGTACCGCACCAGTTACTCCTTTGAGGCTGAGTCGACCTAGGGGAGGCCCAGGACCAGTTCAGATAATAATCACACACATACACAAAGTCTCACACGCGCACACACTAACCGCTGGTCGTGCAGTCTCCTCCCTCCGCTCCTCCGTCCTCTCCACCCGTTGTGATATTCATCGTGCTTGGCGCCAGCGCTACGGTGGGGAGAGTGGCGGCGGCAGGGTCGGCCGTGGCCGCCGCTCTGATTGCCACGGCCGCCACGATGGCCGGCGTGCCGTGCAGGCCCGGGGCGGCGTCCCACCGCGGCAGGTGAGAGACGCCGAGGTCCTGCAGCTCCCGCAGGTAGAACTCGATCACCTCCTTTCCCTGCGTGCAAAACAAAGACAAAGGTCCCACACCCATCCGTGTAGCCTTTAAACTAAAAAAAACCAAACGATTTTGATTTTACCAGGTAAGGCTGTGTAGCTCTTTTTCAGAAGCGACCTGGCTATCGCACGTAATGATAGCTCAACAAAGTGGCTTATCATCGTGTAGAAATTTAGAGCGGCCAAATAATCTGAACGCGTGACGCCGATTCTAAATGTGGGGGGGGAAAAGCGGAGGACCCGTAAGAAAGATCCACGCGACCACGGGGAGAACCTGCAAACTCCAAATATACAGCAGGCGTTAGGGCCAGGAGGGAACCCACGACCTCCTGCGTACCAGGCGAAGTAGTTAACATCTCGCCACCGCGCCACCCTGATGAGGCGAGTGCTGTACGTATGCATGCACAACTTCTTGTGCACCGTACGTAGCTAACCGTGCCAATCGGAGTACTGTTGGCGAGCAGAACCTATGAAGGCCGGCACGGCACACGAGAAGGTGAGTGATCAACTCCACACCCGGTTTGCCTTCGTCTCCCCAGGTGGCGATGTTTACATACTGCGGTAGGTACTCATTTGAGGCTGAGTCGACCTCGGGGACGCTCAGGGGACGGTTCAAAAATTCGCCACTGTTGTTGGTCATTGAGCGGGAATCGAACTCGGGTCGCCGGGTTCCGAGTGCAGCGCGTTAACTACTACACTAACATATTCTTGGTTCTTTCGGTAAAGTCACGTAGAAGGGAAACAATAAAATAATAAAAATATGAAACAATAAAATTATCACGACGTTTCGACTGCAACACAAGCAATCATCATCAGGTGTGTGTGCTTGTGTTGCAGTCGAAACGTCGTGATAATTTTATTGTTTTATATTTTTATTATTTTATTGTTTCCCTTCTACGTGGTGACTTTACCGAAAGAACCAAGAATATGAATCCCTGCAGTCACGAAAGCTTTAAATCAAAATACTACACCACCGTTGCATGTGCATATGTAAAAATGCACTCATACATAGACATAGACTATGACATAGACAAGACAACGATTCTGCTCATAGCCTTAACAGACTTTAAAGCAAGCACCTAGACATACACTGTACATAAACACAAGACAAAGATCCCCCGTATAGCCTTGACACGACTGCGGGGGCAAGTGCTGTTCACGAGCACCTATGAAGGCCGGCACAGCACACGAGGGGGTGGGTGGCCACCACCACGCCCGGCCGCCTTTGTCTCCCCAGTGGCGATGTTTACACACCGCACCAGGTAATAATTTTAGGCCGAATCGATCTATTGGAGTGCCCGGGACCGATTCAGATAATCGTCAGCGGTGCTGGCCGTGAGCGTGGATCGAACTCGGCTCGCCGAGTTCGGAGCGCAGTGCGCCAACCGCGTGCTGTGCACATACACACACACTCCGTCTGTGTTTGACACTCTCTCTCTCTCATGTCCCGACGGTGTCCGGCGCGGTTTCAAACGAAACGCCGCGTTACCTCGTCGTTAAATTTCGTAGCAAGGATTGCTCCGCTCACCAGTGACCGAGCTGAAACGACGACGCTTCTGCACCACGTGACAATTTTTGCCCCTTTGGCCACGTCGGGTGGTGGAGGGTTGCACGACACAGATATTCTGCGATCGTTACGTAGCGGCCAAACCCGAAAATCAATTGTGAATCATAAAATTGCCCGTGAACACCTACGGCGCGCAAAGTTAACGGGATTAAAATGAACAACGTCTAAACGATCCCGTGTACTCCACATAGCGTTAAGTAAATCATATCTACAATTCATTTACTGTTCTATGAACTACGTGTATAATACAATAAAAATCTGCTCTGCTGTGACACTGCCGTGCCGTACCACGACTGCGCCGTATTTTACCGGGGGAGGGGGGGGGGGGGCTGAATGCCGCCACGGTACTCACCGTTGAGGGTGTGGGCGACGTCCTCCGAGAAGTAAAATGAACAAAACAAAACAAAGACGAGGCGAGCAGCACAAAAAAAAACAACGGGGGCGCAGGAAAGACGCGGTGGGCAAGCACAATGGAGCGGGGGAGGGGGGGGAGAGAGAGGAAGGTGGTGTAGAAGGAAGACAAAGGCGGAGGAGCAGAATGCAAGAAGGGCCAAAAGTGGAGTGAAGGGAAGACAAAAGTGGAGGAGCAGAAAGTGATTGAGACAGGGCTGGAGAGAGCGGGAGGCAGGCCTACAGGGGAGCGGCACAGCGCACCGCCACCTACTGCTGCAGCTGCCACCGGCTCTTGTGCTAAATTACTTTGTTATTTCGTCAGGTAATGGTCCAGCTAAACACTGCATGTATAACAAGACTGTTGGGGCAAGTGCTGTTAGCGAGTAGCACCTACGAAGGCCGGCACGGCACACGAGGGGGTGGGTGGCCAGCACCACGCCCGGCCGACTGTCTCCCTATAGTGGCGATGTTTACACACCGCACCAGGTTATCATTTGAGGCTGAGTCGACCTAGGGGAGGCCCAGGATCGGGTCAGATAATAGTCACTGGTGTTGGCCGTGAGCGGGAATCAAACTCGGGTCACTGGGTTCATAGCGCAGCGCGCAAACCGCGACACTACCGCTCCCCATCTGTATATATATACACACACACACAGAGGCACAGATTGAATTCAGTCACCTCCTTACTCTAAAACAAATACAAAGGTCACTCGAATAGCCTTGACAGGCTGTTTGAGCAAGTGCTGTGAGCGAGCACCTCCGAAGGCCGGCACGGCACAAGAGAGGGCAATGTGGCTCTGACCACGCCCGGCCACCTGTCTTCCCAGTGCTCATTCGAAGCCGAGTCGACCTAGGTTAGGCCCGAGACCTGTTCCGATATCACTCGTCTCAGATGTTCGCCGCAAGGAGGAACTGAACCTAGGTCGCCGGGTTCATTAAGTGCAGCGTGCTCACCACTGTGCCACCGCTCCCCGTACACGAAGACGAGACAAAGATCCCCCGTATAGCATTCACAGACTCTTGGGGCAAGTGCCGTTGGCGAGCACCTATGAAGGCCAGAACGAAGGCCAGAACGACACACGAGGATGCACACAGATACACACGCACACTTGACACATCACATTGTATACACAAACATAGTACCTACACACACACACATTGTACACACACACGCGTATTGTACACACACACGCGCATTGTACACACACACGCGTACACACTACGGAGGGAGGGTGGCAGACCTTCTTGATGTTGGCTGTGTACTGCTTCATGGCCACTTTCTCCACCGAGCTCTCAAAGCCGAAGAAGGACTTGATGTCCAGGCTGGCCGTCTGCTCAAAGCACGTCCACTGATCATTGTCAGGGTGGACCTGAGGATGACAAAGAGAAAGATTCCCCATGTAGCGTACACAGACTGTGACGATGACGACAGTGACAACGGCGACATTGGCGGCGCTCACGCTGTAGCTGCACTTCTCGTTGACGATGACGCGCGTGGCGAACGTCTCGTTGTGAGCCTCGATGTGCAGCGTGCGCTCGCGCCAGTTGAGCGTGTTCTTCTGGATGAAGAACACAAAGTCCACGCCGGCAATCTGCACGCACAAAAAGAACAAAGAGCCCCACACCCACCCCGTATAGATTAAAAAACCCACTGCTTTACAACCGCCTCTGTGTTTCGTTTGTTGTGCTTACCCACCCCACCACACAAGCGCGCCTCCAATTAGCACAGTTGGCTACGTACGGCGCGAAAGAAGTTCAACGTACGTATGCACGTATCGCCTTTTATAGCCAGTCGGGGCAAGTGCTGTTTGCGAGTAGCAGCACCTATTAAGGCCGACCCGGCACACGAGAGTGGGGCAGCCAGCACCACGCCCGGCCACCTTTGTCTCCCTCGTGGCGATGTTTACGCACCGCACCAGGAGTTGACCTGGGGAGGCCCTAGCTCAACTGGTATGCAGGAGGTCGCGAGTTTCATCCCGACCCTGACGCCTGCTGTATATTTGGAGTTTGCATGCCGCTCTCTCTCCTCGTGGTCGTGTGGATTTTTCTCCGGGTTCTCAGGTTTTTCCCTCCACATTCAGAATCAACGTGCGTTTAGACTATTTGGCTGCTGTAAATGAACCTTATGGCGGGACCCCGGGGTCCCGAATAAACGGAAGACAAAATCGTCATTAATTTATTTATTTTTGGCGACTCCGTCCCACCACGCACATAAACGCCGCGACCCACCTGGCGCGGATCATCATTCTGTTGTCATGTCATTAAAGCACAGCGAGGATTAATGCTCAGAAGAAACGAAACTTTGAAACTTTGATTAGTGCATCGTGTAGAGCTCGTCGAGAGGAATAGATCGCCTTGTCGTTCGCCTTCAACGGACATAAAATGACGTCGCAACGCAGTTTATGCGAGAGCCGGGGGCTTATGGCACCCCGGGGTCCTGCCATAAGGTTCAAATGTCCACATGATGATGATATCAGCCACTTAGTTGATAGCCAGGTCGCTTAAAAAAAACAAAGAGCCACATCGCTTAGTGGGCCTTACCTGGTAAAATAAAAAAACTAATTTAGTTGAATTTTGATTTAAAGTTTTCGTGACTGCAGGGATTCATATTCTTGGTTCTTTCGGTAAAGTCACGTAGAAGAGAAACAATAAAATAAAAAATAAAATAAAAAAACGCCACTTTTTCAAATTTTCTTGGTGTGGTTTTCACACCTGAGGATGATTGCTTGTGTTACAGTCGAAACGTCGTGAGAATTTTATTGTTTTATATTTTTATTATTTTGTTTCCCTTCTACGTGACTTTACCGAAAGAACCAAGAATATACTTCAGTTGAGTTTCAATTCGCATGAATGACGCTGTATGAAATTAAATGACGTAGTAATAATAATTACAATAATTATCACCTTCTTGAGCAGGCGTGGCGCCTCCACGTTGAGCTTGCACCTCCTCTCGATGACGTGCAGAGCGCCGTCTTCGCTGCGCTGCTCCGCCAGCCGTTCGCTCCCCACAAACACCGGGATGAGAGGGCACGTGGGGAAGCGTCGCTCGTACGCCTGTCGCGTCACACACACACACGCGGACAGAGACCCCCCCCCGTGTAGCCTTAACGCATCACAAAGACACACACGAGGACATAGACCCCCACCCCCCCGTGTAGCCTGAACATATCACACCCACAGACAGAGATCGCCCGTGTAGCCTTAACGCAGGGGTGGGGAATGTTTGGCCCGCAGGCCGTATGAGGCCCGCTAAATCATTTGATCTGGCCCTGCCAAGGCAACCGCAAGCGGGACTCGAAATTCAATCAATCGAGGAGCAAACCTGGTAAAGCAGTTGCGAGTAGCAACATCATCAATACCAGCTAACATCATCAATACCAGCTAACATCACCACACGCCTCACCAAAGAGAAGCAGTTCCAGCCATCACATTAGGGGTGAGTTAATTAAATGTTTGACCGAATATGTCTCATTTTTAAGTTGATAATTTTGTATGGCCCGCGAATTATGTTATAAATATCCAAATGGCCCTTGGCAGAAAAAAGGTTCCCCACCCCTGCCTTAACGTATCACACACACACGGTGACAGAGACCCCCCCGTGTAGCCTTAACGTATCACACACACAGGGACAGAGATCCCCCGTGTAGCCTTAACGTATCACACCCACAGGGACAAAGATCCCCCGTGTAGCCTTAACATATCACACCCACAGGGACAGAGATCCCCCGTGTAGCCTTAACGTATCACACCCACAGGGACAGAGATCCCCCGTGTAGCCTTAACATATCACACCCACAGGGACAGAGATCCCCCATGTAGCCTTAACATATCACATACACAGGGACAGAGATCCCCCGTGTAGCCTTAACGTATCACACACAAAGGGACAGAGATCCCCCGGGTGACCTTAACGGACCATTGGGGCAAGTGCTGGTTGTGAGCATCTATAACAGCCGGCATGGCACACAAGGGGGTAGGTGGCCAGCACCATGACCAAGCCACCTTTGTCTCCTGAGTGGCGATGTTTACACACCACGCCAGGTGCTCATCTGAGGCCGAGTCGACATAGGGGAGGCCCAGGACAGGTTCAGATAATCGTCACTCGTGTTGGTCGCGAGCGGGAATCGAACTCGGGTCGCCTGGTTTGTAGAGCAGCGTAGCGCTCACCGCTACACTACCGCTCACCGCTACACTACCGCTCCCCGCTACACTACCGCTCCCCCCGACACAAACTCACACGCACAAACACATGAAACAACATGTACACATACACAAACATATTTCTCTCTAATAGGCTACATAACCTGTTGGGGCAAGCCTTTAAGGAGCAGTTTGACCTTCTGAGACCCAGAAAGGTCGAAAACTGCTCTCCAATTTGCCTGCTTAAACAAAAAAGACCTCACGCCGACAGAAAATACCGGTTCCTACGGCCCAGGGGCTTAACACTATTTAATCACCGACTTGGCAAGACTGGCAATAACAGCCCCCTCTGTTTATTTATTTACAGAGATATAGATACAAGCACAAACACCAAGAGTGCACAATACTTGGGAAACCGGAGCCTGAACAACCGCACCCACCACCGCTCTTTTGCCGTTCACAAACGGCTGGGGCGAGCGCAGTTAGCGAGTAGCAGGGGCCCGTGAAGTCCGGCACGGCACACGAGGGTGTGGGTGGCCATTACCACGCCCGGCCGCCTTTGTCTTTCTGGTGGAGATGTGTATACATCGCACCAGTCGACCAATATTATTGGCCATAAGCGGGAATAGAACTCGGTCCATCGGGATCATAACGCAGTGTGCTAACCACTGCACCACTATTCCAAACTTAAGTGTGAACACACCCATATACCTTGTGCATGTACAAAGACAAATATCCTTCATAGAGACTGTGGAGGCAAATGCTGTGGATCATAGGATCAGTGACGTAAAAACCTGTTATGGGCCTCGTCTAGGTAGACTCAGCCTCAAATGAGTACCTAGAGCGGTGTATAACACATCACCACTGGGTTGACAAAGGCGACTGGGTGTGGTCCTGGCCACCAACCCCGTCATGTGCCGTTCCAGCCATCATAGGTGCTGCTCGCTAACGGCATTTATCCCAAGAGTCTGATAAGGCTGGGGGGGGGGGGGGTCTTCGTATTATTGTGTGCATACATTTGTGAGCACAAACAGGACTTTCCCAACAAATTATGCAGGCTACACAGAGGATCTTTGCCTTTGTATATTACAGTATGCATGCGCACGTAGGATGTGTGGTTCTTTGCAGAAGTAATGTGATATAGCTCATGTTTACCCCCTGCTTGCAAAGGGTGACGCAGTTGATTTTATGCCCAAGACAATTGGAACAGAATATTCCATACCCCAGACACAGTATAATTAGAATCCTTTATTTAACCAGGTGAGAGCCCTTTGAGACTTATGTGAACGAATGAGTGGGTGAGTGTGGAAGTGAGTGAACGAGTTAGTTAGTAAGAGTGGGTGGGTGACAGCATGAGCCAGTGGGTAAGTGAATGAGTGGTTGAGTACGTGGGTGAGCGAGTGGTTAAGCGAGTGGGTTCGTGAGTGGACGGGTGAGAGGGTGAACCGGTTGGTGAGTGGTTTAGTGTGCGAGTGAATGGGTGTGGGAATTTGCAATTGAGTTGGTGAGTGAGCGAGAAAGTAGCGTATAAGCGAGTAATTGTGTGAACTAATAAATGGGCGATTGTGTGTACATTATGTGTGTGTGTATATAACGTGTGTGTGTGTGTGTGACGAATATCTGAACCAATCTTGGGTCTCCCCGAGGTCGAATCAGCCTTAGATTAGTACCTGGTGCGATGTGTAAACATCAGCACTTGGGTGACAAAGGCGGCCGGGTGTGGTTTGAGCCACCTTGTACATGTCGACAGCAGTACGTGTATGTGTATATGCATATGTATATGTTTGTGTGAGTATGTACATGTGTGTACGAGTCGTCTGTGTGTATGCAAGTGACCATGTATATATGTGTATGAGCATGTATGTGGGAAGTGGGAGTGCAGCGGTAAGCGCGCTACGCTACAAACTCGAGGACCTCATGATCAACACCTTTGACGCTTATCCGATCTGGTCCTGGGACTCCCCTATGTTGACTCGGCCTCAAAAGATCACCTGGTGCGGTGTATAAACATCGTGACTTGGGGGGGGGCGTGGTACTGGCCACCCACCCCCTCGTGTGCCTTTCCGGCCTTCATACATGAAGGCCGGCAAGGCACACGATGGGGGAGCTTAGTCTTTGCGTACGAGTATGTATTTGTAAGTATATGTGTGCTTCTCACCGCCATCACCATCTCAAAGGGGAACTTGTAGACTCGCACAGGCGACTGGTACTGTTGAACCATGATGACTTATCTGCAACTGCACACACACGAGCACAGACACGGAGTTGCAGATCCATTTTAGTCTTAAATATTGTTGGGCCAAGTGCTGTTAGCGAGAAGTGCTGTAAACATTAGCACTGCACACGGAGGGCGTGATCTAGCTCAACACCACACGCCTGGTCCCCTTTGTCTCCCCAGTGCCTGGACTGAGACCATCATCAACTGACTACACACGGTGGCTAGGAGATGTTACCTTCGTCGCCTGGAATACAGGAGGTCGGGGGTTCGATCCCGACCCTGACGCCTGTATATATAGAGTTTGTGGTGTCTCGCTCTCCTCGTGTGGATTTTTTCTCCGGGTCTTCCGGTTTTTTCCATCCCCATTTAGAATCAACGTGCATTAGATTATTTGGCTGCTATAAATTTCCACGTAATAAGCCACTTCGTTGAGCTATCATTTGTGATGGCCAGGTCGCTTCTGAAAAATAAGCTAATAGCTCAGTGGGATTTACATGGCAAAATACAATTAGATCATTTTTCAAAAACACAAACACATTTTGTAGTGGTGTGTTTACCTTTACTATTGTTTGCACTCCTATTGTCTTTTGGTATTGTTTTTTTTTTCTAACTTTCTGACCCCCGTGCTCCTACTGGACATCTGCAGAAAAAGAGCTTTATAGCTCATCGCATTCCTCCTGCAGTCTAAATAAAGATTCTGATCACAGGCAGGAAAGCTGCGTTGTAACCGCACCGGCTCAGCACTCTTTGACCTCCCTCTGTCAGGTCCATGGCTCAAGCTCCCTCCAATCCATCTTTAAGGTCCATGACTCAAACTATCTGACCCTGGCTCCCCCCCTCCCCCCGTCTTGAGAACCACTTTATGTGTTTAGTTTGTTGTCCTTCCCCACCCCCGCACATCCTATTAGCACGGTTTTCCTACGTGCGATGCAGAAAGACGTTCAACATACATACACAGAGATGACAACACTACGCTCGGCGCTCTGACGAAGAAGCACAGTGGAGTTAACTTCCCCTCGTGTTTCTCAACTGTATCGCCATCGCCGGACACATTAGACGTGGGGCCCACCACGCAGCCATGTACAATGAGATGGACATTTCAGCTTAGCCTAAAACGACAAGATGACTGCAGGAATTCATCTTTTTTGGGTCTTTCGGTAAAGGCACGTAGATAGATTTTGATATTTTTTCTATCTACGTGGCTTTACCGAAAGGGCAAGATGACTGTTGGGGCAAGCGCTGTTCGCGAGCAGCAGCAGCACCTATGAAGGGCGGCACACGAGGGGGCGGGTGGCCAGCACCATGAAATATGTGGCAGCCAACACGGCTGGAGAAGACTGGCCCATGCGGACAAGGAGCGATTACACCAGCTCGTGCGCAGGTTCTAAAGATGGATTGGTGCACTGTGAGAGATAGAGACGAAGTGCCTATCCAGCAGTGGATCTATTGCTACTTTAGCTGCTGATATATATTTTTTCGGGATATCCTGTTTATTCATCTGCATAATCAAAAAACACCTTACACGCAGAAACACACTCGTACATACAAGTACCTACACGAATACATACACAAATATTCCCCGTATAGCCTGCAGCAGACTGTTTGGGCAAGTGCGAATAGCACCAATTAAAGCCGGCACGGCACACGAGGGGGTCGGCGGCCAGCACCACGCCCGTACAAACACACAGACACACACACGTGTATACATACACAGCCTTAATACGTGCTGCTGTTACACGAGCGATTTCATGGTGCTAGCAACACAAACCAGGGCAGTGTGGACTTGAGAACCATCATGCATTTTTGCCTGTCTTCCCAGAGCTGATGCATTTAAGGCCGACTAGAGCTGGGGGGGGGGGGCACAAATCAGTTCAGACATCGCTCACCACTGAATATATTCCACGGCCAGTTCGGAATTGGAACTGAACCCAAGTTGCCGGGTTTGTGGCGCAGTGCACTAACCACTGCATCCGCCCGCACATGCACACACACGAAGATCCCCCGTGTAGCCTCAAACAGACTGTTGGGGCAAGTGCTGATAGCGAGCAGCACCTACAAAGACAAAGATCCCCCGTGTAGCCTCTAACAGACTGTTGGGGCAAGTGCTGCTAGCGAGCAGCACCTACAAAGACAAAGATCCCCCGTGTAGCCTCTAACAGACTGTTGGGGCAAGTGCTGCTAGCGAGCAGCAACTTTTAAAGGCTGGCTCGGCTCACGAAGGGGTGGATGGGGGGCCAGCAGCACTCCCAGCCGCCTTTGTCTCCCCAGTGGCGAAGTTCACACACCGCACCAGGTACTCATTTGAGGCCGAGTCGACCTAGGAGAGGCCCAGAACCGATTCAGATAATCGTCACTGGTGTTGGCCGCCATGAGCGGGAATCGAACTCGGTTGGTGGGGTTGGTTGCGCAGGCAGCTAACCCGCTCGCCACGCACACACAATTCACACACACGGAACACGGCAAACCGCAAAACTTGTGCAAGGCTGCGCTTAGAGTCGCCCCGAGGCAGTGCTTGAAATGCAAAAAAAATCTACTTACGGTGGCCAGGAATCCCACCAAGAACACAGAGCGCAAGACTCTTCTCTACATTCTCGTTATAGCAGGCACCACAACGTCAAATCTACAACTCTCACGACGGGAGCCAGACCAGCCCATAGATCATTCGCATTCCCCTCCTATTCCCGAAACTGGGATTTTAAAGGGAGGGCTGGTGTCGTGGCAGCAATATTTTAATTGCGCTTATAATTTGCAAACTCAGCAGTTGCCCATACATAGACAAATATCTCCCGTATCGCCTAAACTGACTGTAGGAGCAAGTGCTGTTTGCGAGTAGCACAGCTATGATGGCTGGCACGGCACACGAGGGGGTGGGTGGCCAGCACCACGCCCGGCCGCCTTTGTCTCCCTAGTGGCGATGTTTACTACACACCACACCGGGTACTCGCTTGAGGCCGAGTCGACCTAGGGGAGGCCCGGGACCGGTTCAGATAATCGCCATCGGTGATGGCCGTGAGCGGGAATCGACCTCGCGTCTTTTGCCGAATTCGTAGCGCAGCGCGCTAATCGCTCCACCACCGCTCCCGACAAACAACAACACAGCCGCTATTCGCCACTTAGTGGCGGTGACGTCTCCACGGCGCCTGTGCCAGGCTAGGTGCACTCACACACACAATAAGAACATCCACAGGGTCGATGCGGGAAGACTGGTGACGGAACGGCAGTGAGTGTGGGGAGGACTTAATCCAGCAGTGGAGAGATCGCGGCTGATCATATTACACACACGATTACATTATACGTATACGTTAAACATGTTATATACACGTACTCCGCAAAAAACACCTAAAACATATCAACTTTGACAGCTCAAAACAATCACAAAACGTCAATACATCTCTAAGCGCTTACGTGACGTTAAGGAGTGAAGAAAACCGAACCCCTATGAGATGTCGTGCGGCCTAGCGCCTCCAGCGGGAAAACGGTCTCCTCTCCGGGCAGTGACGCTGGGCGAGAGCGCTTGGGGGCTCGGGTCGAGGGGATTTGTCCGAAATAAAACCTAAAAACTGTCGGCGAAAATACGCGGCGTGCATTTCTGAAGCAGGATGAAGTCCGCTGAGCCAGACATGGCTGAGATTTGTTCGAAATGAAACTTTAAAACCGGGAGAATAATCTTCACCTAACAACAAGCGAGCGCCCCGACCGACCAAACCGCCATGACGCAGGATGACGCCACTGACGTAGTGACGTCAATTGGCGTCGTGAGGTCATCGCGCAATGCTGGCACGTACGATTTTAAACGCGAGCAATAAACAAGGGGGTTGACGTCATTGCGCATTGCTGTCAAGGTGATGGGGGGGTGGGTTATGCGGTGATGTCATCACGCAATGCTGACACGCACACACGGTTTCATTGTCAATGCTTGGTTGGGGGGGGGTATGCGATGACGTCATTACGTAATGGTGACGCACGGTTTCAGAGCCCAAGCTTTGCGTGCGGAGGATGCGTGATGACGTCTCATCATGGTGACGTTTTCACGCAATGCTGGCGAGTTCCGGTTTAATTGCGGGCAACGGTTTGAAGGACGGCGTCATGACGTCATCGCGCAGAGCGTGACGAGCGGATCCGCGTGATGACGCATTCTAGTGCATTAGGTAATTTTATCTGTCACATGACAAGTTAAAACCCACCGCGTTCGTCCAAAACAAGTCTCAGTGTGTGGCTTGAAAAGCAACATCGAATATAGTTGGCGACGTTTCAGGCAATGACCCTTCTTCATGGCACATTCTTCATGGCACCAGTAGATGTGCTATGAAGAATGTAACATTAAAATGCGCTATGGACGTGTTGTGAATGTGTTGTGAAGGGCCGTTGCCCGAAACGTCGTCTATTGTTTTCCGTGTTAACGCCAATACCAATACCCGCCATTCGCCAAGTGACGGTGACGTCACCACGGCGCCCGGTGCCAGGCTAGGTGCACTTTGTGGCTGCCACGTGTAAGTGTTGAAGGCTCGCTGCTGGCAGGTCACGGGACAGACCCAGCGGGTGCCATGGGTCGACTGAGATGTCTGCATCACCATCAGAACTTTACAACAACGAACACGACACAAACACGACAGTCGTGCAAAGTATAGGAAAGGTAAACAAATCACTTGAAACACACGTAAAATACATTTTTATTTTATCACGTAAAGCCCACCGAGCTACCAGCTGCTGTTCACCAGGAAAGCCTGATCCGTAACCGGGTTTTTTTGGGTCTCAATGAGTCTCGAGATGATTTGCGAGGAGGGTTCCTGCCAAGTTATCGCGGCAGCTGCTGCTGCTGCGTAAAGGCGGCCGAGTGATTTGCGATGTTCCTGCGAAGTTCGTCCAACCCTACACCCGGCGACATCGCATGCTGGGGCCGAGTGATCCAACCCGCCACGGTCGGCACTGTGCCCATGGCCGGCACTGTGCCCATGGCCTGCGGTAACGAGAGGGCCTACGAAAAACACGTAACCGAGATATCTTCTCGACTAAATATATTCATATCGAGTAAAGGTTCGGCAAGTGTAGATACAAAGAGGCAGAGTCATTTCGATTTAAAGCTTTCGTGACTGCAAGGATTCACCTTCTTTGGTTCTTTCGGTAAAGTCACGTAGAATGAGAATAACATAATAAAATAAAACAATAAAATTCTCACGACGTTTCGGCCACAACACAAGTAGCCTTCTTCAGGTGAAGGAACAAAACTTAAGGAACCAAAGAAGAGGCAAGAGTCATATCAATCGTTTTTCTTTTCATAAGGTGAGAGAGAAATTAACACCTGAGATTACCTTTTAGAGATTTAATTGCGAAATTAGCCAAATAAACATCTTCAAATGGTACAATCTCATTCTCAACCGAGAGTAGCGGTGCAAGGTAAGACAAAGGTGGCGTTGTTATTGTCCTATGGTTGATCGGAGACAGTTTAAAAAAAATCAGCTTTAGCTTCGAAAAAGAACGCTCCCCTTCACAAGTTATTCCCAATATGGCAAGATAGATCCTGAGAGAAATGTAAACATTCGCAAAACTGCCGATCAGCTCGTCAGATATTTGGGTTTTGAGCAGATCTGCCAGTTTTTATTTTCCTCTGCATACAAATGCAGAGGCGACAGGAATCCATCAGTGAATGATGTTTCGAGATCCGCTGGATATACAGCAACTCATGCATTGGCCCGTACAACAATGTCTTCTTCTGTGGACAGTGATCCGTCGACAAGAAAACTGAATCGAATATTCAATCCGGCATATGCATTTGACCGTTTTTCCATCTCCACAATAAGTTGATCCATGATGCGATAGAAGCATTGGATATGGAATCTGTCCATTGGAGGTTTTGCACTCCTATCGTTCTTCACATCCTTGTTCATGAACTTCAGAATAGATCCGTTCATCTCCTTCAATGCTTCATCCTTTTTTTCTCGTGTCTTCCTCTTCTCGTGCCTTGCCTCATGCTTTCCATTATACCCATCTGACATATTGGTATATTGGGGAGGGTGAGATCACCTACATAACAAATAAAAACTAGGCAATTTTCAAAAATATAGCAAAATTTCAGTGTAAGAAATTACATACGAGTAATTATTTTAAATAATACAGAAAGCAAGACGCCGATAACAACTTCTGAACAGCGAGACCAAACAAGAATATACGACATACTAAGAAAGGAGAAATGCAATGACATTATAATTCTATTAAGTATAGACTATGGGCTAAAGGTGCTAATTTTTTGTATAATTTAGCCTAAAAAATATCAGCCAATTCACCCTCGTCCCTGCCACTTCAGAAATGATCTCAAATACAAGGTCAACTGGGCGAATACTGCTACTTATTCTTCTATGCAGTAATTTTGACAAAAAGCTGTATTAAAAATTAAATATTAATTGAGCGTTGTTTTTATTCTTTTTGCCACTTGTTGACTGCTCGCTGCAGTTTCCTTGCGATGATAACAAGTCGTCGACTCGTTGTAAGGGAGGCATATCAGACCTAAAAGTAATGGTCAAACAAGCATTTAAGATAAAACGAAAGTAAAGCAATGCCACGTGACTTTTTTTTCCAGGATCAAAGTACGAAAAATAAGGTTTTACCCTTTCTGGCAATAAAACAGGTGTTAAAATGTTCAAACATCAAACGCCTTTTGCAAGGAATCAAGTACTGCATTAACCACACACGGCACTTGTGGTGAACATGCAAACAAAACATGCTCTGATAATATTTGCATTGTCTTTGAAACTGATTGGCCTGCACCAGAGAGCCTTCTTTATGGCCTTGTCTCGCCAGTGTCAGACCAGAGAACGGCAAAAGGCGACCAGTACAAAGACAATCCACGTATGTATCAGAGCGTGCATCAGCCAGTCGTCTCAGTCAGTCAACCCGTGGCACCTGGGTCTGCCCCGTGACCTCCTGCCAGCGGGCGTTCGACACTTCACGTGGCCTCAAGGTGCACATGGCCTGGCACAAGTGTCGTGGTGACGTCACCGCCACTTAGTGGCGAATGGCGGTTCTTGTTGTTGTGTGTGAGTACGTGTGAGTGTGAGTACGTGTGAGTGAAAGTGTGTGAGTATGAGTGAGTGTGAGTGTGTGAGTTCGGCCGGATCGAGGGGGCTAAACGGGCGCGGCACGGGCTAGAGAAGAGATGGAGTGATGTGGTACAGGAGGACGTGGAGCTGAGTGGACTTGCCGATGACTGGTACCAGCGGTGTCAAGATCGGCCTCTGTGGAGGAGGCTCGTGAAGAACGCTACTGGGCAGTTGGAGGCAGTCGCCCTTCAACAACAACGGAGGGCGGAGGAGCGACGCTCACAACGAGCGGAGCGCCGGGTGGCTAAACCACAGCAAGTTAGCACAGTAGGGGGCACAGGTGGTGCATCAGCCAGTCATCTCAGTCAGTCGACCCGTGGCACCTGGGTCTGCCCCGTGACCTCCTGCCAGCGGGCGTTCGACACTTCACGTGGCCTCAGGGTGCACATAGCCTGGCACAAGCGTCGTGGTGACATCACCGCCACTTAGTGGCGAATGGCGGTTCTTGTTGTCTAGCTCAGGGAGAGCAGCTATATCCTGTGATACCCTTTTTGTCAGTGTCAATGTATGAAAAATAAATAAGTCAATATGGCGCTCGTCATGCGGTTGTCCCGTCAGAACATTAAATTTGTTATAAAAAATTAAATTACATTTATTATAACAAATTAAATTACATTTACTATAACAAATTAAATGTATTAACATTTAAAAAAAAATGTTCTGACGGAACGATAATTGTCGATTTAAAATGAAAGGCATCCTTTTCACGCTGCGTCGTCCGATACGATTATAATTATAGTAACAATCAATAGTTTCAGAAATGTTTGCTTATCTGCGACAGAGTGCGCTCCCATAGAATTAGGGCACAGACTAAACAATGGAACGTATCAGTAATGATATCTGTCCTCACTGCAGAACAGTGGGAGATCATACAAACTCCACACTGGGGTTTGGCGGTGGCAACAGGCGACTATATCCCAACTCCTCCAGCCAGGCGCGGCTCAACGTGCGACTCCCAGACGCGTTTCTGCGTGCACGGCGAGGACGCAGTGCCACAACCCAGCTCGCTGGGCCGCACCGACGCTCCTCGGGATGCTTCTAAAGACTCTTACACGATAGAAAACAATCACGCACCTTGGCACATAATTGAAACGCAAATTGTATTTTACAAGCCAGTGTCTTTACAAGCGTTCTTTTTCACAATAATAATAATAATAATGCATGAATTGTTTTGCTTTCGTAATACCTTAACAACCCCGCGACAAGCAAATGTCACAAAGTTTGTGGCTGCGTCGCTGATGATGACCCCCAGGAATGGCAAATCCTATATCAGCACGGACAAGGAGCACCATCGGCACCACCAGCATGTTCGACATCACCCTCGGGGTAACCGCAATCACCGCCACCATCACTCCGGGATGACTAAAATGAGAACCGAGTGACGTGCAGGCAGTCTCCCGTTTACGACGATCCACATTTACGAGATACATATATATGGCCACCACGGATCGATTTACCACGAAGAAAATGGATTTACGATGCACCTTCTGACACGGCTCCGAACAACACTCGAACAGAGTCAGTCTCGTTTCCGATGTGACTTGGCGCAGAGCGTTCTGTTATTCTCGAGTGTTTTTGTGGATTGTTGCCGATTAAAGCCTGTTAAATAGGGCTGAGAGAAGGAATAAAACGACATCGGCAAGTGACGTGTCGGCTGCTTCTACCGCCGGTGGGAATAGAGGAGTCCGGTTTAAGACGACGGGGTTCCCAGGAACGCATTGTGGCGTCGTAAAAGCGGGGACCCGTGCCTGCAATTGTATTTCCATTTAAACAAAATTATATTTTCTTACCAGACGGGCGTCGCATCATCACGGTGTGAAGAATGCGTTCGGAAAATATCACCAGAGCAGTGCCAACCAAACCTTCGCAATGTTCAAGAACAGCCCGCGGAAGCGGATATCACAGAGCTACCTCTGAGATCCCTTCTTATTCTTCCAAGTGGCACTCGGGTGCATACACAGCAGAGAGCGGCACCGTCCCGCTCGCTCCGCTACACGAGAGCGATATACGTCACGTGGCGGTCAAACTTAATATTTTAATTCTCAGAACTGGACTTTAGCCAAATTCAGTGCAGAATAAAACGTGATGTGATCGGGGTTTTTTTGTGTGCAGCCATTGGTGACCGGGGCTGAGACCATCAACTCACTGCACACGAGAACCCAGTTTCATCAGAACCAAACCTCTGCGAGTCTTTGCATTTCTGTGCGAGTCTAAAGGTCCACAGGTGAATACATGGACCTTGGTGTAAGTTACTGCTGACCCGGCCGAGACCACCAACTCCACTACGATTGACAACCCGGTGTGATCACAACACGATCGAAATCCGGACTGGAAGCCAGGATCTCAGCGGTGCTGGCTCAGCTTCTCCGACTTCCAAGCCACCCGGGCGCCTCCTCCACGTGTGAAGCCAACACACCATGGTCATCTTACGAACACACTGGCCCTCGCCATGGTAACAAGGAATTTCCATCGCTGGATTATAGTCAACAGAGGTGAGTGCCGCCCCTTTGCTCATGTAAGTGAAGACATTTGCAATCAGTGGCCATGCCCTGCTGATCACTTATAATTTAAGTGAACCTCACTCAAGCCGAGATCCACAACGAAGGTGGCCCAGTCATGCTGATGAGCACCAATAAGAGGGAACACCATTAAAAGTTCCACCGACACATTCCATCCGGTGACCCGTGTCAACCGACGGAAATGACACTACCTCCATGGAGAGGCGTGAGAAAAATAAATATATATACAGTAGACCATCATCATCAGCCAAGCTCTATCCACTGGCAGATGAAGGCCTCCCAAATTCGTTGCCATAAACTTCGTGGCCTCGCGATGAGCAGATTTCACCGCTCCATCTCCGTGGTTGGCTTTGCCGGTTGTAGTTCTCCCCTTTGGGTGCCGCTCCATCTCTAGCCACGACCGGCGGTTATCGTCACGTCTAACCACGTGACGCCGCTGAGGCTACGAGATGTTAACTACCTCGCCTGGTATACAGGAGGTCGTGAGTTTGCGTGTGTCTCTCTCTCTCTTCATGGTCGCGTAGATTTTTCTCTGGGTCCTCCGATTTTCCCCTGCACATTGACACTCAATGTGCATTTAGAGTATTTGGATCCTGCTATAAATTGCCACAAAAGCTACTTCTTTGAGCTAGTGGGCTTTATTTTAGTTTAGTCCTGCCCAAGCCCACGTACTTTTCTTCAGTCAATGTGATGACTATATCAATTACAATATATACACACAAAGATAAAGATCCCCCGTATAGCCTCAACAGGCTGTTGGGGCAAGTGCTGTTAGCTAATAGCAGCACCTACGAAGGCCAGCACGGCGCACGAGGGGATGGGTGGCCAGCACCACGCCCGGCCGCCTGTCTCCCCAGTTGCAATGTTTACACACCACACCAGGTACTTATTTGAGGCCGAGTCGACCTAGAGGAGGCCCAGGACCGGTTCAGATAATCGTCACCGGTGTTGGCCGTGAGCGGGAATCAAACTCGGGTCGCCGTGTTCATAGTGCGGCATAGCGCTGACCGCTACACTACACACAAATAAAACTCACACACCTAAAACTTAAGAGACCGTCATAACTGTGTGACTGATTTGGGAAGGTATTCATCCAGCAGTGATTGACAAAGCAGCTGCAATTACCTGTGTTTCTATGCGTCTCCCTGTCCCATTGGCAGCACTGAGCCAGCGATGAAAATTCCACATTCCCAGGTAGAGGCCAGACTTTCCAAAGTACAACCACTGCTGACGTCCCACAAAGCGGTGCCCATTTACTCGACCCCCAACTCAAAGACGGCCAGGGCTGCGGCACAGGCGGCGACGTCTCCGTGTTACCGACGATGCCCAATCAGCGGCGAACCTTATAGAAGGTGGCGCTCGTTACACACAAAGTGCTCACCACAAATTAACCACAACACCTTGCCGATCTCGTCCAGGAGCATAAACCATCATCACGCAAACTCCGGTGGTCATCCTCGCAGTAGCGGCTTTTGGCTAACCATCGAACAAAGACGGTCAACGCATCGCACGCTATCGGATGCCCTTCTGCGGCCGTCTGGAACGCTCTTCCTGCCGGTATGAGGAAGCCACTGTGAGCTACGCACTTTTAAATAGTCGAGATTGAAAACTCATTTCTTTAGAACTGCTTTTGGTGTTTAGTTTGTTGTCCTTCCCCCCCCGCACCTCCGACTCGTGCGGTTGGCTCCGTACGGCTATGAAAAAAGTTCAATATGCATACCCAGTTCTAAAACCCACAGCGACGGTATCTGAAGTTGCTACGCCCATCAGGACGACTTGTAAAGAGGATGGAGCGGAGGTGGGGGGGGGTGTTGAGACCGGTTTATCTGCAGGAGGAGGAGATCCGGACGAAGAAGAGTTCGTTAACCCCACGCTTGCGTCTTGCAGTAGTGTAGAACCAACTTTCCGTCGCTGCCGAAACACTGCAGGGACACACGGCACAGCACTCGGTGATAAGATGGCACGTGCTACTTAACACGGTGGCGAGATTTTGACGACCTCGCCTGGTACACAGGAGGTCATGGGTTTGATCCCGACCCCAGGCGCCTGCTGTTTATATTTGGAGTCTGCGTCCCTCTCTCTCCCAGTGGTCGCGTGGATTGTTCTCCGGGTCCTCCGGTTTTTCACCAACATATTTAGAAACATGCGTTTAAGAGTATTTAGCTGCTGGAAATTTGCACATAAGCCACTTTGTTGAGCTGTCATTTGTGATCGCCAGGTCACTTCTGAGAAAGAGCTACACAGCTCAGTGGGGCCTTACCTGGTAAAATATAAAACGGTTCGTAGTTTAGTTTTTCTGACCCCTTGAGAGGCCCCCGAGCGGTAAGTCCTCGCTTTACGCTTGGCGTTTACACGACACGTTTTTGCAACAACGCGGTACTATCAAGCAGGAAATACTTAAATTTTGATTTAAAGCTTTCGTGACTGCAGTAATTCATATTCTTATTTTTTTCGGTAAAGTCACGTTGAAGAGAAACAACAAAATAACAAAATATATATAAAACAATAAAAAATTCTCACGACGTTTCGACCATAACTCAAACGGTCATCATGCAAACCGACACACCTGATGATGACCGTTTGAGTTATGGTCGAAACGTCGTGAGAATTTTTTATTGTTTTATATATATTTTGTTATTTTGTTGTTTCTCTTCAACGTGACTTTACCGAAAAAACTAAGAATACAGGAAATACTTTTCGCGGAACGCCCGCTGTCACAACGCGGAACGCGCTGCGCCGTTATAACTTAGAACGAGCACCGTTATACCGTTATAACGCGGTTTCTGAGTGGTCAATGACGAACAACTTTCTTGAGCCGCGCAGCTGAGCGGTGCAGCGACATGGTAACGCGGAGTGATACGGCAGAAACGCGGTGGCCCCTCGTGTTTCCCTTTGTCATCTCACCGCGCGGCGTGCGTAGTAGTAGTAGTAGTGACATCATATCTCGCCAAACTTGATCGTTGTTACATCGGCTACGCGGACATTGTTTTCGCTTGACGCGTCTTTCGCTCAACGCGGCACTTTTCAGAATCGCATCCACTACTAGCACGTTAAACGACGGTTCGCTGTACAACAAAAGTTAACATTAGTGTTGCGCTCATGTTAGTGTTAGTGCTAGTGTTACAGCTAGTGGTGGTGTTAATGCTCACGTTAAAAGCTAGTGATAGCGTGAGTGGTAATGCCAGTATAACTGTGTGCGTGTTAGTTGCAACACTAGCAAGTGTGCTAGTGGGAAAGCTAGTGATAGCGTGAGTGGTAGTGCCAGTATAATTGTGTGTGTGTTAGTTGCAACGCCAGTAAGTGTGCTAGTGGGAAAGCTAGTGATAGCGTGAGTGGTAATGCCAGTATAATTGTGTGCGTGTTAGTTGCAACATTAGTAAGAGTGCTAGTGGGAAAGCGAGTGATAGCGTGAGTGGTAATGCCAGTATAATTGTGTGCGTGTTAGTTGCAACACAAGTAAGACTGCTAGTGATAGCGTGAGTGGTAGTGCCAGTATAATTGTGTGCGTGTTAGTTGCAACATTAGTAAGAGTGCTAGTGGGAAAGCTAGTGATAGCGTGAGTGGTAATGCCAGTATAACTGTGTGCGTGTTAGTTGCAGCGCTACTAAGTGTACTAGTGGGAAAGCTAGTGATAGCGTGAGTGGTAATGCCAGTATAACTGTGTGCGTGTTAGTTGCAACGCTAGTAAGTGCTAGTGGGAAAGCTAGTGATAGCGTGAGTGGTAATGCCAGTATAATTGTGTGTGTGTTAGTTGCAACACCAGTAAGACTGCTAGTGGGAAAGCTAATGATAGCTTGAGTGGTAATGCCAGTATAATTGTGTGCGTGTTAGTTGCAACGCTAGAAAGAGTGCTAGTGGGAAAGCTAGTGATAGCGTGAGTGGTATAATTGTGTGCGTGTTAGTTGCAACGCTAGAAAGAGTGCTAGTGGGAAAGCTAGTGATAGCGTGAGTGGTATAATTGTGTGCGTGTTAGTTGCAACGCTAGAAAGAGTGCTAGTGAGAAAGCGAGTGCTACTCTGAGTGTCAAGGTCCAAGTCAAACTGGCCCTCACCTCAAACAGAGTTCCCACATCTTGGTCTGGAGCCGGAGCGAACGACTGATTCACGTAGAGAAACTGAAGTGAGATCAACAAAACAATAAGCACAGATAATACGGGGCAACACAGTGCAGACTGCACGGCACAGACTGGACAGACAGCTTTGGCCCCTAGGACCCAGGGCTGGTGAAGGGGATGTGGGGCAGGGTACCAAGGCCCCTGGGGCCCGGGAGGTGCCCTCACCAGCGAGTCGGCGGCATCACACTTGATGTACTTGCGCACGAACTGGATGATCCAGGCGACCGTCTTCCCCGTCTCCACGGACCACTTCTTCTGCTTCATGATGGGAGCGTCGCCCACTGCCTTCAGCAGCACGTCCACTGTGGGGGCCATGGCAGGGTGGGAGGGGGGGGTGCAGAGACAGGGGGTAGACAGTAGGCGAGTGTTCTTCATTGTAAGGCGCTGCGGGACACTGGCGGCCCCTGGTGGCCTTTGGTGCGGCCCCTGGTGGCCTTTGGTGAGGCCCCTGGTGGCCTTGAGCGAGGCCCCTGGTGGCCTTTAGCGAGGCCCCTGGTGGCCTGTAGTGAGGCCCCTGGTGGCCTGTAGTGCGGCCCCTGGTGGCCTTTAGTGCGGCCCCTGGTGGTCTTTAGTGAGGCCCCTTGTGGCCTTTAGCGAGGCCCCTGGTGGCCTGTAGTGAGGCCCCTGGTGGCCTTTGGTGCGGCCCCTAGTGGCCTTTGGTGCGGCCCCTGGTGGCCTTTGGTGAGGCCCCTGGTGGCCTTTAGCGAGGCCCCTGGTGGCCTGTAGTGAGGCCCCTGGTGGCCTGTGGTGCGGCCCCTGGTGGCCTTTAGTGCGGCCCCTGGTGGTCTTTAGTGAGGCCCCTTGTGGCCTTTAGCGAGGCCCCTGGTGGCCTGTAGTGAGGCCCCTGGTGGCCTTTAGTGCGGCCCCTGGTGATCTTTAGTGCGGACCCTAGAGGCCTTTAGTGAGGCCCCTGGTGGCTTTTAGCGCGGCCACTGGTGGTCTTTAGTGATGCCCCTGGTTTCAAATGGTGTGGCGGCCCTGGTCACACTGCTTATGTCTCATTGGAGGAAGTGGCCCTAACCCCCTCTAAAAATGAGTGAAGGACGCTGCGGTAGGGGGGTTGAGATGGGGCGGGCGAGGGCTCCATGTCCTAGCACTCGTCTCGTCCCTTCATCATCACCCCAACATTACATCACAGCCATCACCACCGTGAAAGAGGTGCTCGCTAACAGCACGCTGTGACTGAGCGTGTCTGTGTGGGTTGTCTGTCTGTGTTGTCTGTGTGTGATGTCTGTTTGTGCGTGGCGCGGCAGCTTCTGTTTGGCCTCAGAGGGGCCTAAACGGGCACGGCACGGGCTAGAGAGGAGATGGAGTGATGTGGTTCAGGAGGACATGGAGCTGAGTGGACTTGCCGATGACTGGTACCAGCGGTGTCAAGATCGGCCTCTGTGGAGGAGGCTCGTGAAGGATGATACTGTGCAGTTGGAGGCAGTCGCCCTCCAACAACAACGGAGGGCGGAGGAACGACGCTCACAACAACGAGCGGAGCGCCGGGTGGGGAAAACAGCGAGTTGGCACAGTAGGGGGCACAGGTGGTGCATCAGCTACTCATCTCAGTCAGTCGACCCGTGCCACCTGCTGGGTCTGTCACGTGACCTCCTGCCAGCAGCGAGCCGTCGACACTTCACGTGGCACCCACAAAGTGCACCTAGCCTGGCACAGGCGCTGCGCTGACGTCCCCTCTCCGGGTGATGGGTTATCTGAATCGGTTCTGGGACACCTACCACCTAGGTCGACTCAGGCTCAAATGAGGACAGTACCTGGTGCGGTGTGTGGTAAACATCGCCACGGGGGAGAGACAAAGGTGGTCAGGCGTGGTGATGGTCACCCACCCCCTCGTGTGGGGTGGCGGCCTCCTGGGCCACTCTCCCTACCCGACATGGCCTCCCCTGCCCACTACCACCTCCCCACCCACCACAACCTCCCCACCACCACAACCACCCCACCACCACAACCACCACCTCCCCACCACCTCCCCACAACCACCTCCCCACCCACCACAACCACCACCCCCCCAACACCACCCCCTCCACCACCTCCCCACCCACCACAACCACCACCACCTCCCCACCACCACAACCACCACCTCCCCACCACCACAACCACCACCACCTCCCCACCCACCACAACCACCACCCCCCCCAACACCACCCCCTCCACCACCTCCCCACCACCACAACCACCACCTCCCCACCACCACAACCACCACCTCCCCACCACCACAACCACCACCACCTCTCCACCCACCACAACCACCACCCCCCCAACACCACCCCCACCACCACCTCCCCACCCACCACAACCACCACCACCTCCCCACCCACCACCACCTCCCCACCCACCACCACCACCTCCCCACCCACCACCACCACCTCCCCACCCACCACCACCACCTCCCCACCCACCACAACCACCACCACCTCCCCACCACCACCTCCCCACCACCACAACCACCACCACCTCCCCACCCACCACAACTACCACCCCCCCAACACCACCCCCTCCACCACCTCCCCACCACCACAACCACCACCTCCCCACCACCACAACCACCACCTCCCCACCACCACAACCACCACCACCTCCCCACCCACCACAACCACCACCCCCCCAACACCACCCCCACCACCACCTCCCCACCCACCACAACCACCACCACCTCCCCACCCACCACCACCACCTCCCCACCCACCACCACCTCCTCCCCACCCACCACCACCACCTCCCCACCCACCACAACCACCACCCCCCCCAACACCACCCCCACCACCACCACCTCCCCACCCACCACCACCACCTCCCCCCACCTTTCCTCCTCGCGCCAGGCAGAGGAGCAGTCGGAGTCGCGGCCACTTCGGCCGCTCCCTCGGCGGCGCCAGGCTCCTTGCTCTCGTCGGCCATCGCGGAGTCACCGAGGCTGAGTGTCGCTCGCACTCGCGGCTCACGGGGAGAGGAGACGGCGGCGGCGGCGGAGGAGAGAGACGGAGGAGGAGGAGAGAGACGGCGGCGGCGGAGAGAGAGGAAGGCGATCAGGAAGAGGTGGACAGAGTTTGGGGGTGGTTGTGAAGGGACCCCACGTGACACTATGACCACGTGACGGGCCCGGGTAGAGACCACGTGACAGAGGGCAAGACTCATAGAGCCAGACTAAGGCTCCCCTGAGATTCTCAGGGTTCAGTGACAATGCACGAGGCTCATAGAGCCAGACTAAGGCTCCCCTGAGATTCTCGGGTTCAGTGACAATGCACGAGACTCATAGAGCCAGACTAAGGCTCCCCTGGGATTCTCAGGGTTCAGTGACGATGCACGAGGCTCATAGAGCCAGACTAAGGCTCCCCTGAGATTCTCAGGGTTCAGTGACAATGCACGAGGCTCATAGAGCCAGACTAAGGCTCCCCTGGGATTCTCAGGGTTCAGTGATAATGCACGAGACTCATAGAGCCAGACTAAGGCTCCCCTGGGATTCTCAGGGTTCAGTGACAATGCACGAGGCTCAAAGAGCCAGACTAAGGCTCCCCTGGGATTCTCAGGGTTCAGTGACAATGCACGAGACTCAGAGCCAGACTAAGGCTCCCCTGGGATTCTCAGGGTTCAGTGACAATGCACGAGACTCATAGAGCCAGACTAAGGTTCCCCTGGGATTCTCAGGGTTCAGTGACAATGCACGAGACTCATAGAGCGAGACTAAGGTTCCCCTGGGATTCTCAGGGTTCAGTGACAATGCACGAGACTCATAGAGCCAGACTAAGGCTCCCCTGAGATTCTCAGGGTTAAGTGATAATGCACGAGACTCATAGAGCCAGACTAAGGCTCCCCTGGGATTCTCAGGGTTCAGAGACAATGTACGACACTCATAGAGCCAGACTAAGGCTCCTCTGGGATTCTCAGGGTTCAGAGACAATGTACGACACTCATAGAGCCAGACTAAGGCTCCTCTGGGATTCTCAGGGTTCAGAGATAATGTACGAGGCTCATAGAGCCAGACTAAGGCTCCCCTGGGATTCTCAGGGTTCAGAGCGAGAGTGGCCACAGAGTTGTGTCGATGATCGAGGGACTCAGAGGGCCAGTGTCACTCACATGGAAGTCACGTGGTTTACGGGAGAGTCTTAACTCACGATGCCTGTTTTGTATTTGGAGTGTTGGCGTCTCTCCCCTTGGCCGCATGGATTTCTCTCGGGCTCCTCCGGTTTAGAGCAGTTTCCTGCTTTAAATGTGCACGTGATGATGACGATAAGCCACTTCGTGGAGCTATCGTTTGTGATTGCGAGGTCGCTTCTGAAAAAGACGCTAATGGCTCAATGGGCTTTATACTTGGTAAGATGAAACAAATCGATATTTACGTAAGTGATTTGTTTACCTTGCCTCTACTTTGCACTCATATCGTGTGTTTGTGTTGTTTGTTGTTGTAACGTTCTGACCTTCCCCTCCTGGACATCTTTGAGAAAGAGCTTTACAGCTCATCGGATTCCTCCAGAATAAAAACTAAATCCTGATTCTGATCTGTAGAGCGCTGTCGATGAGAGGGCCACGTGGTGTAAGGGAGGCTTGGGTTTCTTTAAGTAGACAGTGAGTGAGGTTCAGAGAGCCAGAGACCCAGGGCTCGCTCATTAAACGAAGATCAGCAGCAGCAGCACACGACATCTTCAGGACACACAGTTTAATCCACGCAGTGATGCACTTCAACATGATATTTGGTACCCCAATACATTGTAACCAATATCATCCATAATATGGGTTTCCTTTGGGTTAGATCACGTAAATATAATTGGCTGTCCGCCTGAGTTGTAATTACTGGCGAAACGTCGTACTCGGATTGTAAATGTGAATTTGCTCTCCAACACACAAACGGTGTGCTGTACTAGTATACTACACTATACACTACACTATACACTACACTATACACTACACTATACACTAGCACTGTACTAGTATACTACACTATACACTAGTGCTGTACTAGTATACTACACTATACACTACACTATACACTAGTACTGTACTAGTATACTACACTATACACTACACTATACACTAGTACTGTACTAGTATACTACACTATACACTACACTATACACTAGTGCTGTACTGTATACTACACTATACACTACACTATACACTAGTACTGTACTAGTATACTACACTATACACTACACTATACACTAGTACTGTACTAGTATACTACACTATACACTACACTATACACTAGTACTGTACTAGTATACTACACTATACACTACACTATACACTAGTGCTGTACTGTATACTACACTATACACTACACTATACACTAGTGCTGTACTAGTATACTACACTATACACTACACTATACACTAGTACTGTACTAGTATACTACACTATACACTACACTATACACTAGTACTGTACTAGTATACTACACTATACACTACACTATACACTAGTGCTGTACTGTATACTACACTATACACTACACTATACACTAGTACTGTACTAGTATACTACACTATACACTACACTATACACTAGTACTGTACTAGTATACTACACTATACACTACACTATACACTAGTGCTGTACTAGTATACTACACTATACACTAGTACTGTACTAGTATACTACACTATACACTACACTATACACTACACTATACACTAGTGCTGTACTAGTATACTACACTATACACTACACTATACACTAGTGCTGTACTAGTATACTACACTATACACTACACTATACACTACACTATACACTAGTGCTGTACTAGTATACTACACTATATACTACACTATACACTACACTATACACTAGTGCTGTACTAGTATACTACACTATACACTACACTATACACTAGTGCTGTACTAGTATACTACACTATACACTACACTATACACTAGTGGTGTACTAGTATACTACACTATACACTACACTATACACTACACACTACACTACACTATACACTAGTGCTGTACTAGTATACTACACTATACACTACACTATACACTACACTAGACACTACACACTACATAACACACTACACTACACACTACACTATACACTACACTATACACTACACTACACTATACACTACACTATACACGACACTATACACTACACTATACACTACACTATACACTACTATACACTACACTATACACTACTCTATACACTACACTATACACTACACTATATACTAATACCGTTTAAAATATAAAACATTCTCATGCATTTTAATCCATCCATCCATTTTCGACCGCTCCTGCTCAGGGTTGCAGGTGTCTGGAGGCAATCCCAGCTGTCCGACACCAAAACTCTATTTTTATAGGATAATGCGGTAGCATACGGGTCGTCGTTGTGAGGTCAAGAAGTAAACTACCGTCCTTTTAATCAAATAGTCAGCTAGCTCATTTATGCAGAGCAAACCCTTTTGATGAAGAAGATGGCGAAAAGTAAAAAAAAAAGATGAGGAGTACCGCACATTTCAGCACGAATGGACAGAAGAATTCGCCTTTGTGGAGAGAGCGGGTTCTGCGGTGCGTCTAATATGCAATGATAAAATTTCATCGATGGAACGGTCAAATATAGAGCGGCACTTCGACACACGCCATGCTACATTTGCATCGAAATATCCAGCGGGGGACAGCAGAAAGAAGGCATGCGCCAAGAGCTACTGTCCAGAGTGCAAGCTAGTATCAACCAGACTACAAAGCCATCAGCAAAACCATGCAGCACCAGAAGTCGCATGAATGGTAATACGTATTTTATTTATTATTGGTTTTTGGTATAACGTTATTAAAAAGGATATATTCAGAGACTTATATTCTAAAATTGGTGGTCTAAGTTAAATATACACGCATTTAGTTGTATTCAGTGTTAAAAAATATTATATGGCTCTCACGGAAATTTATTTTAAAATGTGGCTTTTATGGCTCTCTCAGCCAAAAAGGTTCCCGACCCCTGCACTACACTATACACTACACTATACACTAGTGCTGTACTATTATACTACACTATACACTACACTATACACTATACACTACACTATACACTAGTGCTGTACTAGTATACTACACTATACACTACACTATACACTAGTGCTGTACTAGTATACTACACTATACACTACACTATACACTAGTGCTGTACTAGTATACTACACTATACACTACACACTATACACTACACTATACACTAGTGCTGTACTAGTATACTACACTATGCACTACACTATACACTAGTGCTGTACTAGTATACTACACTATACACTATATACACTATACTATACACTACACTATACACTACACTATACACTAGTGCTGTACTAGTAGACTACACTATACACTACACTATACACTACACTATACACTACACTATACACTAGTGATGTACTAGTATACTACACTATACACTAGTGCTGTACTAGTATACTACACTATACACTACACTATACACTAGTGCTGTACTAGTATACTACACTATACACTACACTATACACTAGTGCTGTACTAGTATACTACACTATACACTACACTATACACGAGTGCTGTACTAGTATACTACACTATACACTACACTATACACTAGTGCTGTACTAGTGACGAATTGGCCACGTTCTGTTTACGTGACAACCCTTACTAGTTGGCTGTGTCGGGTGGTGGCGGGTTTAACAACACAACATTTATATATTTACGCGATCTAACCCAACCCCCCCCCCCCCCCCCCCCCCGTCTTATGGACATTATAACCCACTTATACCGCTACATATATGCTGTACAAGGCTTAGTAGGCAAGAGCCTTAGCCCGCCCGGTTCAAGTTGCTCGCGACCAAGTTCCACGGAACCGACCGGCTCCAGTCTGGCAGTCTCTGCAGCGAGTTCAGACTCTCTCGGGGATGCCGATGATCATCGTCCCAGCCTTGTAAGGTCGCGGTCGGCAGCGGTGGCAGATGCTGTGCATCGCAGTCTCGTAGAGATACACAGAGGTACAGAGACCCATAGAGCTATAGAAACCTCCGATTAACTCTGTTGGCTATGCGCTGTGTGAAACGCGTTGGAATCTATAACACCAGAGTGCGTTAAGCGAGGACTTGCCGTGATTTTCAAACGGGGCAAGGACCAATCACAGGCGAGAAACGCTGCACTGCCACCTGCTGCCCACCCCGGAGAGACCCACAGCACGGCAGGAGAACAGCCACTCCCTTAAAGGCGCACGTCCCCCCTTAAAGGCACGCGTCCCCCCTTAAAGGCGCGCGTCCCCCCTTAAAGGCGCGCGTCCCCCCTTAAAGGCGCACGTCCCCCCTTAAAGGCGCGCGTCCCCCTTAAAGGCGCACGTCCCTCCTTAAAGGCGCACGTCCCCCCTTAAAAGCGCACGTCCCCTTTAAAGGCGCACGTCCCCCTTAAAGGCGCACGACCCCCCCTTAAAGGCGCGCGTCCCCCCTTAAAGGCGCACGTCCTTAAAGGCGCACTTCCCCCCTTAAAGGCACCCTCACCACCACCACCACCACCAACTTCCTCCTCTCTCGCCCGACTTTCGAAGCGACACCGAGCTGAGCTCCACGCCCCAGTGACGCGACTACCCACGTGGTGCGCCTTGCCGAGAGTCGACGCCGCACAGCTGTCACATTCGCGTTGGTGACTCGCCACTTTGATCGTCACCCGTACAAATATGGAATGGGCAGGAGGGCTGTTGCATGGGCAAGTTGTCTCGGTGGTCCGCCCGTGTGGTTGGTGAACATTGTGTGACCTTGAGAGTGGGGCACAAGCGAGCTAAGAGACCACTGTTATTTCACTCAAATGATAGATGCCAGAACATCACAAAAAAATTCTTTCGCGAGATGAACAACTGAAGGATGACAATCCGCGATGTAAACAAATCACACCGCACGGTTGCCAACGATGATCGCGGCGCCTCGTGCCGTACGAGCGTCACCCCGGCATCGCCGCCGTGTCATGGCCCAGCTCCGCCATCCGCACTTCCCGGAGCGTTGGCCCGACGGCGTGCCAACATCGGCCCAACATCGAGTCAACGTTGGCCCTACCGCGTGCCAATGTCGGCCCAACATCGAGTCAACGTTGGCCCTACCGAGTGCCAACGTCGGCCCAACATCGAGTCAACGTTGGCCCTACCGCGTGCCAACGTCGGCCCAACATCGAGTCAGCGTTGGCCCTACCGAGTGCCAACGTCGGCCCAACATCGAGTCAACGTTGGCCCTACCGAGTGCCAACGTCGGCCCAACATCGAGTCAACGTTGGCCCTACCGAGTGCCAACGTCGGCCCAACATCGAGTCAACGTTGGCCCTACCGCGTGCCAACGTCGGCCCAACATCGAGTCAACGTTGGCCCTACCGCGTGCCAACGTCGGCCCAACATCGAGTCAACGTTGGCCCTACCGAGTGCCAACGTCGGCCCAACATCGAGTCAACGTTGGCCCTACCGCGTGCCAACGTCGGCCCAACATCGAGTCAACGTTGGCCCGACGGCATGCCAACGTCGGCCCAACATCAAGTCAACGTTGGCCCTACCGCGTGCCAACGTCGGCCCAACATCGAGTCAACGTTGGCCCTACCGAGTGCCAACGTCGGCCCAACATCGAGTCAACGTTGGCCCTACCGCGTGCCAACGTCGGCCCAACGTTGAGCCGCCGTTGGCCTGACCGCGTGCACAGCGTTGAGTCGACATTGAGCCCGACCACATGCCAACATTGTCCCAACGTTGGCCAGCGGCCGGGCCGACGTCGGGCCGACGATGGCATTCGTTAGGGCATGCCAACGTTGGCCCGACGTTGGGCCGACGTTGGCATGCGGCCAGGCCAACGGTTGTCCCAGCGTTGAGTGACCGTCGGGTCGACGCCGTCGGCACTGTGCGGGAATCGCGCCGTGCGTCGGCGGGCGTCACATGACTGAACAGATGCCGCCTCTGCCGCCCCTCCTGCTCTGATAGGCCGCCTTGGAACGCTCCATCTCCTCCTGGTGTTGCCTCTTCAGCTCCTGTAGCTTCATCTCCGTCATCTCTTCCATGTGTTTGATCCGGGCGTTGAATGACTCCCCGTTGAGCTGCGGTGGAGAAGTCAAATGTCAAAGGTGCAGCCACGCTATGAACTATTTATTATTAAATTTCGATTTAAAGCTTTCGTGACTGCAATGATTCATCTTCTTTGGTTCTTTCGGTAAAGTCACGTAGAATGAGAATAAAATAATAAATTGATAAAATAAAATAACACAATAATATTCTCACGACGTTTCGGCCACAACACAAGCGGCCTTCATCAGGTGAAGGGGCGAGACTGTCTGGTAGGACAGCGCTGGAGTCTCGCCCCTTTACGTGACTTTACCGAAAGAACCAAAGAAGATATTTATTATTATTTATTATTATTTATTATTGTACCAGGTAATGAGCTGTGTAGCTCCTTTCCAGAAGCGACCTGGCTACCACAAATGACAGCTCAACGAAGTGGCTTGTCATCATCATCATCATCTTTGCGTGGAAATTTATAGCAGCAGCCAAGTAAACGCGTTGCAATGTTGATTCTAAATGTGGAGGGGAAAAATCCACGTGACCACGGAGAGAGAGAGAGAGAGACGCGCAAACTCCAAATATACAGCAGGCGTCAGAGCCGGGATCGAACCGACGACCTCCTGCTGCGTACAGGCGAGGTTCGATCCCGACCCTGACGCCTGCTGTACATTTGAAGTTTGTGTGTCTCTCTCCCCTTGGTCACGGAGATTTTTCCCCGGCTCCTCCAGTTTTTCCCTCCACGTTTAGAATCACGTCGCCGTGTTCAGAGTTTTTGGCTGCTACACATTTCCTCGTGGCCAGGTCGCTCCTGAAAAGGAGCTACGCATCTCATCGGGGGCCTGACACCCGGTACAATAAAAATAGTGGGAATAGTTTTATTTATAGACTGCACCAAACCAAAAACCTAACACATGGTAAATGTGGTTCTGTGTTCCCCCTAACCTCAAACTGAGAGACACCCAGACCCTGGGGGCAAGCCCAGGCTTCTCAGCGGCGCTGGCTGCATGTCTCTTGAACGCTGCTGCGGGCATGGGCCCGCTGATCTACGTGGATTAGCTAAGCCAATCGCAACTACAATTAGCACGGTTGGCTACTTACGGTGTGGAAGAAACTACTATACACTACACTACTATACACTACACTATACACTACACTACACTATACACTACACTACTATACACTACACTACTATACACTACACTATAAACTACACTATACACTACACTACTACAGACTACACTACTATACACTACACTACTACAGACTACACTACTATACACTACACTACTATACACTACACTACTATACACTACACTACTATACACTACACTACAAACTACACTATAAACTACACTATACACTACACTACTATACACTACACTACTATACACTACACTACTATACACTACACTACTATACACTACACTACTACAGACTACACTACTATACACTACATTACTATACACTACACTACTACAGACTACACTACTATACACTACACTACTATACACTACACTACTCTACAATACACTACACTACTACATTACTATACACTACACTACTATACACTACACTATACACTACACTACTATACACTGCACTACACTACTATACACTACTATACACTACACTACTACATACTACACTACTATACACTACGCAACTATACACTGCACTACACTACTACAGACTACACTACACTACTACAGACTACACTACTATACACTACACTACTAGACACTACACTACTATACACTACACTATACACTACACTACTATACACTGCACTACTACACACTACATTACTATACACTACACGACTATACACTACACTACTATACACTACACTATACACTACACTACTATACACTACACTACTACACACTACACTACTATACACTACACTATACACTACACTACTATAGATTACACTACTATACAATACACTAGACACTGCAATACACGACACTACTACATACTACACTACTATACACTACACTACACACCTATATACTCCACTACTATACATTACACTAAACACTACACTACTATACACTACACTACTACACACTAGACTACTACACACTACACTACTAGACACTACACTACTATACACTACACTACAAACTACACTATAAACTACACTATACACTACACTACTATACACTACACTACTATACACTACACTACTACAGACTACACTACTATACACTACATTACTATACACTACACTACTACAGACTACACTACTATACACTACACTACTATACACTGCACTACTCTACAATACACTACACTACTACATTACTATACACTACACTACTATACACTACACTATACACTACACTACTATACACTGCACTACACTACTATACACTACACTACTATACACTACACTACTACATACTACACTACTATACACTACGCAACTATACACTGCACTACACTACTACAGACTACACTACACTACTACAGACTACACTACTATACACTACACTACTAGACACTACACTACTATACACTACACTATACACTACACTACTATACACTGCACTACTACACACTACATTACTATACACTACACGACTATACACTACACTACTATACACTACACTATACACTACACTACTATACACTACACTACTACACACTACACTACTATACACTACACTATACACTACACTACTATAGATTACACTACTATACAATACACTAGACACTGCTATACACGACACTACTACATAATACACTACTATACACTACCCTACTACATACTACACTACTATACACTACACTACACACCTATATACTCCACTACTACTACTATACATTACACTAAACACTACACTACTATACACTACACTACTACACACTAGACTACTACACACTACACTACTAGACACTACACTACTACACACTACACTATACTCTACACTACACACTACACTACTGCACACTACACTACTATACACTACACTATACACTACATTATACACTAAACTATACACTACACACTACACGACTATACACTACACACTACTACACACAACACTACTACAAACTACACTACTACACACTACACTACTATACACTACACTACAATACACTACTACACACTACACTACACACTACCCTACTACACACTACACTACACACTACTACAAACTACACTACTACACACTACCCTACTACACACTACACTACACACTACTACAAACTACACTACTACACACAACACTACTACAAACTACACTACTACACACTACACTACTATACACTACTACACACTACACTACACACTACCCTACTACACACTACACTACACACTACTACAAACTACACTACTACACACTACACTACTATACACTACTACACACTACACTACACACTACCCTACTACACACTACACTACACACTACTACAAACTACACTACTACACACTACACTACTATACACTACTACACACTACACTACACACTACCCTACTCCACACTACACTACACACTACTACAAACTACACTACTACATACTACACTACTATACACTACTACACACTACACTACTATACACTACTACACACTACACTACACACTAACCTACTACACTACTACACACAACACTACTATACACTACTACACACTACACTACACACTACCCTACTACACACTACACTACACACTACTACAAACTACACTACTACACACTACACTACTATACACTACTACACACTACACTACACACTACCCTACTCCACACTACACTACACACTACTACAAACTACACTACTACATACTACACTACTATACACTACTACACACTACACTACTATACACTACTACACACTACACTACACACTACCCTACTACACTACTACACACAACACTACTACAAACTACACTACTACACACTACACTACTACACACTACACTACTATACACTACTACACACTACACTACTATACACTACTACACACTACACTACACACTACCCTACTACACACTACACTACACACTACTACAAACTACACTACTACACACTACACTACTATACACTACTACACACTACACTACACACTACCCTACTACACACTACACTACACACTACTACAAACTACACTACTACACACTACACTACTATACACTACTACACACTACACTACACACTACCCTACTCCACACTACACTACACACTACTACAAACTACACTACTACATACTACACTACTACACACTACACTACTATACACTACTACACACTACCCTACTACACTACTACACACAACACTACTACAAACTACACTACTACACACTACACACTACACTACTATACACTACTACACACTACACTACTATACACTACACTACTACACACTACACTACTATACACTACTACACACTACACTACTATACACTACTACAAACTACACTACTACACACTACACTACTATACACTACTACACACTACACTACTATACACTACTACACACTACACTACACACTACCCTACTACACACTACACTACACACTACTACAAACTACACTACTACACACTACACTACTATACACTACTACACACTACACTACACACTACCCTACTACACACTACACTACACACTACTACAAACTACACTACTACACACTACACTACTATACACTACTACACACTACACTACACACTACCCTACTCCACACTACACTACACACTACTACAAACTACACTACTACATACTACACTACTATACACTACTACACACTACACTACTATACACTACTACACACTACCCTACTACACTACTACACACAACACTACTACAAACTACACTACTACACACTACACACTACACTACTATACACTACTACACACTACACTACTATACACTACACTACTACACACTACACTACTATACACTACTACACACTACACTACTATACACTACTACAAACTACACTACTACACACTACACTACTATACACTACTACACACTACACTACTATACACTACTACACACTACACACCACTACACACTGCGACTATCACGAGTCTCACGACATGTACCCGCATCTGCTCTTGCAGGAGGTTGACGGTCCTCTGCAGTTCCTCGCTCTGCATCCTCGTGATGGCCTCCTGATCGGCCTGCCGGGCCCGGACCTTCTCCAGCTCTGAAATAAACCACGGCAGCCAGAGCAACAGCAGGGACACACAGAGAGAGAGCGGACTCTGATGGGGTGTCTAGACGGTGACACACAGACAGAGCGGACTCTGATGGGGTGTCTAGACAGTGACACAAAGAGAGAGTGGACTCTGATGGGGTGTCTAGACAGTGACTCACAGACAGAGCGGTGTCTGATGGGGTGTCTAGACAGTGACACACAGACAGAGCGGTGTCTGATGGGGTGTCTAGACAGTGACTCACAGAGAGAGCGGACTCTGATGGGGTGTCTAGACGGTGACACACAGACAGAGCGGACTCTGATGGGGTGTCTAGACAGTGACTCACAGAGAAAGCAGACTCTGATGGGGTGTCTAGACGGTGACACACAGACAGAGCGGACTCTGATGGGGTGTCTAGACGGTGACACACAGACAGAGCGGACTCTGATGGGGTGTCTAGACAGTGACACACAGACAGAGCGGACTCTGATGGGGTGTCTAGACAGTGACACACAGACAGAGCGGTGTCTGATGGGGTGTCTAGACGGTGACGCACAGACAGAGCGGTGTCTGATGGGGTGTCTAGACGCTGACTCACAGACAGAGCGGACTCTGATGGGGTGTCTAGACGGTGACTCACAGACAGAGCGATGTCTGATGGGGTGTCTAGACAGTGACTCACAGACAGAGCGGACTCTGATGGGGTGTCTAGACAGTGACACAAAGAGAGAGTGGACTCTGATGGGGTGTCTAGACAGTGACTCACAGACAGAGCGGTGTCTGATGGGGTGTCTAGACAGTGACACACAGACAGAGCGGTGTCTGATGGGGTGTCTAGACAGTGACACACAGACAGAGCGGACTCTGATGGGGTGTCTAGACAGTGACTCACAGACAGAGCGGTGTCTGATGGAGTGTCTAGACAGTGACTCACAGACAGAGCGGTGTCTGATGGGGTGTCTAGACAGTGACACACAGACAGAGCGGACTCTGATGGGGTGTCTAGACAGTGACACACAGACAGAGCGGACTCTGATGGGGTGTCTAGACAGTGACACACAGACAGAGCGGTGTCTGATGGGGTGTCTAGACGGTGACGCACAGACAGAGCGGTGTCTGATGGGGTGTCTAGACGCTGACTCACAGACAGAGCGGACTCTGATGGGGTGTCTAGACGGTGACTCACAGACAGAGCGATGTCTGATGGGGTGTCTAGACAGTGACTCACAGACAGAGCGGACTCTGATGGGGTGTCTAGACAGTGACACACAGAGAGAGTGGACTCTGATGGGGTGTCTAGACAGTGACTCACAGACAGAGCGGACTCTGATGGGGTGTCTAGACGGTGACACACAGACAGAGCGGACTCTGATGGGGTGTCTAGACAGTGACACACAGAGCGGTGTCTGATGGGGTGTCTAGACAGTGACACACAGACAGAGCGGTGTCTGATGGGGTGTCTAGACAGTGACACACAGACAGAGCGGACTCTGATGGGGTGTCTAGACAGTGACTCACAGACAGAGCGGTGTCTGATGGAGTGTCTAGACAGTGACTCACAGACAGAGCGGTGTCTGATGGGGTGTCTAGACAGTGACTCACAGACAGAGCGGACTCTGATGGGGTGTCTAGACAGTGACTCACAGACAGAGCGGTGTCTGATGGGGTGTCTAGACAGTCACACACAGACAGAGCGGACTCTGATCCTAATCCTGATAACACGTTGTTTAGTTTTTAGTTTTAGAGACACACCGAGAACTCAACAGTGGCATCTGGCACGGGCGCCACCGGGCCAACGGCAGCAGCGCCAGCGGCACGGCACGACACAACACCCCACGGCACCCCACGGCACCCCACGGCATGGCACGGCACCCCACGGCACCCCCCGGCACCCCACGGCATGGCACGGCACGACACGCCACAACATGGCACGGCACACCCCGCTGACCCCGTGCCCCTACTGGACATCCGTGAAAATGAGCTTCAGAGCTCGCCGGATTCCTCCTCCTGCGGTCCAAATAGAGATTCTGTTTGTGACACACGGCCACCCACTCACCCTTCCTCTCCTTCTCCAGCTCGCTGACGCTGTCGTCCACCTGCATGATGAGTCGACCCTCGTCCTCCACGCTCGCCAGGAACTCGCTCAGCACCTGCGCCGCCTGGGAGAGACAAGCCGGCGCTCAGCACTCGGCGCTCAGCACTCGGCACCGGCGCTCAGCACTCGGCGCCGGTGCTCAGAACTCGGCACCGGCGCCTTCTGGCAGAGACAGCCGGCGGGGGCACTCAGCCGCAGTCGCTCCCTCCACGCCTGGCGTTGCCGTGCAGGGCGCCGTGGAGGCTATGAGATGTTAACTCCCTCGTCTGATGTACAGGCGGTCGTGGGTTCAATCCCAACCCTGACGCCTGCTGCTGCTGCTGCATATTTGGAGTTTGCGCGTCTCTCTCTCTCTTCCCCGTGGTCGCATCGATTATTTTCCTCCACATTTAGAATTTTCCTCCACATTTAGTATGTGACTGCTGCTATACATGTCCACGTGATGATGATGATGATAAGCCCACTTCGTTCAGCTGATATTTGTGATAGCCAGGCGACTTCTGCAAAGAGCTACACGGCTCAGGGGTGGGCCTCACCTGGTAAAATAAAATACAAATAGTTACATTTGTTTGGTTAGTAAAGCCGATTGGCCCTCACCATGTCTCCCATTCTCCCCATCGACGCTTGGAATTCCTTCTTCAGCTCCTTCATCATCCGATCGTAGCTCTTGAATCCTCCTGCCGTGTGGAACGAGCCTTTGGCGATCTCCTCCTTGATTGGCTTGTGCAGGAGCTCCAGCATGGCGCGGGACGTCGAGACGGACGCCGCCTTGTTCTGCTTCACCAGCTTCTCGTAGGCCTCCATCATTCTCGCCTGCAGCGGGGGGCACCGTGGAGAGGGGTCGCGGAAAGGGGGGGGTCGCAGTCAGACGCAGCCTCGGCGATGTCGTTATCGTCGTCATCGTCGTCGTCATTGTCGCCGTCGTCGTCATCCTCATCACAGAGCCTCCACTCGCTCCTCGCGCTCGCTGACAATAGAGGCATCATCATCATCATCAAGGTGAGTGGCTATATCACGATCACCACCACGATCATCACCACGATCATCACCACGACCATCAACCACCACAAGCATCACCGGCACAAGGGTAGTAGTGATGTACTTGAGAGACACGAGAATAGGAGGCACTCTGTTTATTTTTGCCTTCACAGGCACAGGAAATAACTAGACTTGGGGTCAGGACAGCAACATGCTGCCTGACCAACAACGCTGCTGATGTGACGAAGACGATGGCGGAGACTCGCATAGCTCCACAGGTTCCACTCCAACAACAAACACGAGTCCTCTACGGCAGGGGTCCCCAACCTCCGGACCACGGACCGGTATCGGTCCGTGGCCTGTTAGGAACCGGGCCACATAGCAGGAGGTGAGCGGTGAGTCCACGCGTGGCCCCATGATTTTATTATTTACCACTTCAGTCCGCGCCTCTTTCCCACACTTGTCTCAGTCACAGTGTTGGTAAGCCCACAAGCTCTAACCCCTAGTAGCCACAATGAGTAAGCCCACAAGCTCTAACCCCCTAGTAGCCACAATGAGTAAGCCCACAAGCTCTAACCCCCTAGTAGCTACAATGAGTAAGCCCACAAGTAGCCAAAATGAGTAAGCCCACAAGCTCTAGCCCCTAGTAGCCACAATAAGTAAGCCCACAAGCTCTAACCCCTAGTAGCCACAATGAGTAAGCCCACAAGCTCTAACCCCTAGTAGCCACAATGAGTAAGCCCACGAGCTCTAACCCCTAGTAGCCACAATGAGTAAGCCCACAAGCTCTAACCCCTAGTAGCCACAATGAGTAAGCCCACGAGCTCTAACCCCTAGTAGCCACAATGAGTAAGCCCACAAGCTCTAACCCTAGTAGCCACAGTGAGTAAGCCCACGAGCTCTAACCCCTAGTAGCCACAATGAGTAAGCCCACGAGCTCTAACCCCTAGTAGCCACAATGAGTAAGCCCACAAGCTCTAACCCCTAGTAGCCACAATGAGTAAGCCCACAAGCTCTAACCCCTAGTAGCCACAGTGAGTAAGCCCACAAGCTTTAACCCCTAGTAGCCACAATGAGTAAGCCCACAAGCTCTAACCCCTAGTAGCCACAATGAGTAAGCCCACGAGCTCTAACCCCTAGTAGCCACAATGAGTAAGCCCACGAGCTCTAACCCCAAGTAGCCACAATGAGTAAGCCCACGAGCTCTAACCCCTAGTAGCCACAATGAGTAAGCCTACAAGCTCTAACCACCTAGTAGCCACAGTGAGTAAGCCCACAAGCTCTAACCCCTAGTAGCCACAATGAGTAAGCCCACGAGCTCTAACCCCCTAGTAGCCACAATGAGTAAGCCCACGAGCTCTAACCCCCTAGTAGCTACAATGAGTAAGCCCACGAGCTCTAACCCCCTAGTAGCTACAATGAGTAAGCCCACGAGCTCTAACCCCTACTAGCCACAATGAGTAAGCCCACAAGTAGCCACAATGAGTAAGCCCACGAGCTCTTACCCCCTACTAGCCACAATGAGTAAGCCCACAAGTAGCCACAATGAGTAAGCCCACGAGCTCTAACCCCTAGTAGCCACAATGAGTTAAAAACAAACGTCGCCGCTGGAGAGCTTCTTTGACAAGGGGGAAAGATGAACCCCCCACCCCCCCCCCCCCTTGTCCATGAAAAAATTGTCTTCCACGAAACCGGCCCCTGGTGCCAAAAAGGTTGGGGACCGCCGCTCTACGGGGTCCCCCTAGCGCAGCCTCGCTCCGCCCTCGGCCACGCCCCCTTCCCGACCCCACCAGGAGGCTCCCGGGCTGTCTCCCGTGTCCCCTCCGCCACCTCATCCCCGCGTCCTTCCCTCCCGCCTACTCCACGACCTGCCGCCCGACGGGGCCGCCACGGCAGCAGACCCCCTTCTGGCCAGCAACCGGCGCTCCACGCCGCGGCGGCGACCCATTCCACGTCGCCACGCAAAGCGTCGCCGCGCTCACCGCCGCGGTCCTCGCGCCGGCGGCTTCCGCGGCGGAGTGACGGCAACGCGGCTCGGCGGGGCGCGCGGGGGGAGGAGCGGGGGGGGGGGGGGGGGCGGGGGTCCTCGTCGGCGCGCCCCGACCCTCACCGAGAGCGCCTTCTCCTGCTCGTGGTCGCGGTCCAGAACGGCGGCCGAGGCGAAGTGCGTGAGCGCGGCTTCCCAGGCGTGGACGTGGGACGCCGCCACGTCGTCGGCGGGCACGGGGAAGGCGTCGCGCAGCTCGCACTGCAGCCCCTCGTAGAGGCCCAGCGCCTCGCCGCTCGCGCGCTCGTTGGCCGCGCGAGCCACCTGGCTCACCGCCTGCTCGATGCAGGGGATGGCGCCGCGCGCCTGCGCGTCCACGTAGCGACGCGCCAGCTCCACCAGCACTGCGGGTGGCGTGCAAACGGAATATTTCGAGACTGGAGGAGGAAATCCGATGATCCGCGAAGCTCTTTTTCAGCGATGTGCGGTAGGGCGCGGGTCAGCGAGTCACGGGGGTGGAGGGGGAGGAGGAGGAGGAGGAGGGGGAGATGGTGCCGCATGGAGAGGGTGGTTCGTGCAGGGGCTGTGTTCGCGTTTTTATTAGAATTAATTGTATTGATCCATTACGGTTTTAAGGTAACGAGGATTGGTGGGGTGGTGGTGAGGTGGTGGAGTGGTGAGGAGGTGGTGGAGTGGTGGAGGTGAGGGGTGGTGGGTTAGTGGTGTAGAAGGGTGGTGGGGTGGTGGAGGTGAGGAGGTGGCGGTGTGGTGGCGGTGTGGTGGGATCAGCCGTCCGGCCACTCACGGCGCCCGTTGATGATGGTACCCTCCAGGTGCTTGACGCGCGCGTGACGCACCACGTGCTCGTAGAAGAGCTCCATGCTCTCCCTGAAGCCCGGCTTGAGGTCGTGTGGCTCCATGCGGTCCAGGGAGTCCATCCGCTCCGGATCGGTCGGCAGGGGGAACACGAAGCACTTCCTCTCCTGATGAGAGAGACGCAGGCGAGGATCCCCCCGTGTAGCCCAGGCAAGCCGCTGGGGCGAGTGATGTTAGCGAGGAGCGGCGCCTATGAAGGCCGGCACGGCGCACGAGGATGTGGGTGGCCAGTGCCACGCCCGGCCGCCTTTGTCTCCCCAGTGACGATGTTTACACACCACACCGAGTACTCATTTGAGTCTGAGTCGACCTAGGGGAGGCCCAGGACCGGTTCAGATAATCGTCTCTGCTGTTGGTAGCCGTGAGCGGGTTCGTAGCGCAGCGTAGGGCTAACCGCTACACCACCGCTCCCACTCGCACACACACCCACACTCACACACACTCACACTCACCCACACTCACACACACCCACAACAACAACAACCGCCATTCACCACTAAGTGGCGGTGACGTCACCGCGACGCTTGTGCCAGGCTATGTGCACCCTGAGGCCACGTGAAGTGTCGAACGCCCGCGGGCAGGAGGTCACGGGGCAGACCCAGGTGCCACGGGTCGACTGACTAAAATGACTGGCTGATGCACCACCTGTGCCCCCTACTGTGCCAACCTGCTGTGCTTAAGCCACCCGGCGCTCCGCTCGTTGTTGTGAGCGTCGCTCCTCCGCCCTCCGTTGTTGTTGGAGGGCGACTGCCTCCAACTGCCCAGTAGCGTCCTTCACGAGCCTCCTCAACAGAGGCCGATCTTGACACCGCTGGTACCAGTCATCGGCAAGTCCACTCAGCTCCACGTCCTCCTGTACCACATCACTCCATCTCTTCTCTAGCCCGTGCCGCGCCCGTTTAGCCCCCTCGATCCGGCCGAACAAAAGCTGTTTCGGCATGCGGTGGCTGGGCATGCGGGCTATATGACCCAGCCAACACAGCCTTGCCTGCCGGAGGAGCTCACCGATGGGACCTTGCCCACACACACACACCCACACACACTCACACTCACCCACACACACTCACCCACACCCACACTCACCCACACACACTCACACACTCACCCACACTAACACACCCACACACACTCACCCACACACACTCACCCACACACTCACACACCCACACACACTCACCCACACACACCCACTCACACCCACACATACTCACCCACACACTCACACACCCACGCACACTCACCCACACTCACACACCCACGCACACTCACCCACACTCACACACTCACACACTCACACACACTCCACACACACACTCACACACCCACACACACTCACACACCCACACACACACACTCACACCCACACACACACCCACACACACACACTCACACCCACACACACACCCACACTCACACACACACACACACTCATACACCCACACACACCCACACACACTCACACCCACACACACACACCCACACACACACACCCACACACACTCACACACACACACACACCCACACACACACACCCACACACTCACGCACCTGGAAGATGCTGCGAAGCATCTCCCTCTGTGCGTTCTGCTCGCGGCACTCCTTGCTAAGCCCCCCGGACTTGCGCCTGAGGCAGTGCTCCAGGTAGTCGTCGGAGGAGCAGCGCCGCCCGTCCAGCTCCAGGCGCAGCATGAAGTCCCGCACACACACCACGAACGAGGGGAAGAACGCGCGGCAGTCGGCCGCGTCCGCCTGGTTCGCCGGGTCCCAGGAGCGGGGGCGAGCGCGCATCTGCACGTGCTCGGACATGTTTGCCACGAAGCTGCGGGGAGACGGAGGAGGTGAAACGGGAGGTGAGGAGGAGGTGGTGGCGGTGGTGAGACGGGAGGTGAGGAGGAGGAGGTGACGGTGGTGAGATGGGAGGTGAGGAGGAGGAGGAGGTGACGGTGGTGAGACGGGAGGTGAGGAGGAGGAGGTGACGGTGGTGAGACAGGAGGTGAGGAGGAGGTGACGGTGGTGAGACAGGAGGTGAGGAGGAGGTGACGGTGGTGAGACAGGAGGTGAGGAGGAGGAGGTGACGGTGGTGAGACAGGAGGTGAGGAGGAGGTGACGGTGGTGAGACGGGAGGTGAGGAGGAGGAGGTGACGGTGGTGAGACGGGAGGTGAGGAGGAGGAGGTGGTGGTGAGATGGGAGGTGAGGAGGAGGAGGAGGTGACGGTGGTGAGATGGGAGGTGAGGAGGAGGAGGTGACGGTGGTGAGACGGGAGGTGAGGAGGAGGTGACGGTGGTGAGACGGGAGGTGAGGAGGAGGTGACGGTGGTGAGACAGGAGGTGAGGAGGAGGAGGTGACGGTGGTGAGACAGGAGGTGAGGAGGAGGTGACGGTGGTGAGACGGGAGGTGAGGAGGAGGTGACGGTGGTGAGACAGGAGGTGAGGAGGAGGTGGTGGCGGTGGTGAGACGGGAGGTGAGGAGGAGGAGGTGGTGGTGAGATGGGAGGTGAGGAGGAGGAGGAGGTGACGGTGGTGAGACGGGAGGTGAGGAGGAGGAGGTGACGGTGGTGAGACAGGAGGTGAGGAGGAGGAGGTGACGGTGGTGAGACGGGAGGTGAGGAGGAGGAGGAGGTGATGGGAGAGAGGCGGAGGATGAGACGGAGAAGTGGGAGAGGAGGAGGCGGTGGTGGGACAGGGGAGAGATGAGACAGAGAGGGGGAGGGGGGTGCGTGCTCATCTGCACGTGGAGGGAAAAACCGGAGGACCCGGAGAAAAATCCACGCAGTGACCACGGGGAGAGAGAGAGAGAGAGAGAGACGCAGACTCCAAATACACAGCAGCAGCAGCAGCAGGCGCCTGGGGTCGGGATCAAACCCACGACCTCCTGTGTAGCAGGCGAGGTAGTCAACATCTCATAGCCACCGCGGTCGTACTGCAGCTGCTCGAGGCCTCCGCGGTCCAGGGTGCTCGTGGTGTTGTAGACCAGCGTGGAGCTGAGCAGCATGGCGAGCACGAAGATCCACGTGTCGTGGTTCCCGCTCGCCTGCACGGGGCACGCGGCCAGAGACAAACTCGGTCGCCCACGTGTGTGACGAGCCCCACAGGCTCCGTGCTCACCTGCACCGCCTTACTGGACGGCAGCCTTCGCGGCCGGTGATCGTCACGCCCAGGTTACGCACGGACTGACGGACCGGCTGACTGACTGCCGGAGTGACTCACTGACGGACTAACCAGTGGGCTTACCCACATGGCAGACTAACCAACAGGCTGACTGATGGACTGACGGACTAACCGACAGGCTGACGGACTGACTGATGGACTAACCGACAAACTGACGGACAGACTAACCGGCTGACCGACGGACTGACGGATTAACCGACAGACTGACGGACTAACCAACAAACATACTGACTAACAGGCTAACCAACAGACTGAGTGATGGAATGACGGACTAACCAACAGACTGATGGACTAACTGACAGACTGACTGACTGACAGACTGACGGACTAACCAACAGACAGACTCACCAACAGACTGACTGACTGACAGACTGACGGACTAATCAACAGACTGACAGACTAACCAACAGACTGACAGATTGACGGACTGACAGACTGACAGACTGACTAAGGGACTGACGACCAACCCACCCACCCACCCACCTGCTCGACATCCCCCAGGCCCTCGGTGTCCAGGAGGATGAGAGACTTTTTGCTGTCGACCGGATGGGGCAACACCCAGACCCAGATGCCCTTCGTCTTGGACTGCACCGTGTTACCAAGCTCGAAGCCTGCAGCGTGGGGGGGGGGGGGCAATGGGAGACGGCACACGACTCAGAGAGGACGACTCGGAGAGGACGACTCAGAGAGGACGACTCAGAGAGGACGACTCGGAGAGGACGACTCAGAGAGAGAGAGGACGACTCAGAGAGGACGACTCAGAGAGGACGACTCGGAGAGAGAGAGGACGACTCAGAGAGGACGACTTGGAGAGGACGACTCAGAGAGAGAGAGGACGACTCAGAGAGGACGACTCAGAGAGGACGACTCAGAGGACGACTTGGAGAGGACGACTCAGAGAGAGAGGACGACTCAGAGAGGACGACTCAGAGGACGACTTGGAGAGGACGACTGAGAGGACGACTCAGAGAGAGAAGGCGACTCGGAGAGGACGACTCAGAGAGAGAAGGCGACTCGGAGAGGACGACTCAGAGAGGACAACTCAGAGAGGACGACTCAGAGAGGACGACTCAGAGAGAGAGGACGACTCAGAGAGGACGACTCAGAGAGGACGACTCAGAGAGGACGACTCGGAGAGAGAAGGCGACTCAGAGAGGACGACTCAGAGAGGACGACTCAAAGGACGACTCAGAGAGTACGACTCAGAGAGGACGACTCAGAGAGGACGACTCAGAGAGAGAGGACGACTCAGAGAGGACGACTCAGAGAATACGACTCAGAGAGGACGACTCAGAGAGAGAGGACGACTCAGAGAGGACGACTCGGAGAGGACGATTCAGAGAAAGAGGACGACTCAGAGAGGACGACTCAAAGAGGACGACTCAGAGAGAACGACTCAGAGAGGACGACTCAGAGAGGACAACTCAGAGAGGACGACTCAGAGAGGACGACTCGGAGAGAGGACGACTCAGAGAGGACGACTTGGAGAGGACGACTCAGAGAGAGAGAGGACGACTCAGAGAGGACGACTCAGAGAGGACAACTCAGGACGACTTGGAGAGGACGACTCAGAGAGAGAGGACGACTCAAGAGAGAGAGGACGACTCAGAGAGAGAAGGCGACTCAGAGAGGACGACTCAGAGAGGACGACTCAGAGAGGACGACTCAGAGAGGACGACTCAGAGAGAGAGGACGACTCAGAGAGGACGACTCAGAGAGTACGACTCAGAGAGGACGACTCAGAGAGGACGACTCAGAGAGAGAGGACGACTCAGAGAGGACGACTCAGAGAGAACGACTCAGAGAGGACGACTCAGAGAGGACGACTTGGAGAGGACGACTCAGAGAGAGAGGACGACTCAGAGAGGACGACTCAGAGAGGACAACTCAGAGGACGACTTGGAGAGGACGACTCAGAGAGAGAGGACGACTCAAGAGAGAGGACGACTCAGAGAGGACGACTCAGAGAGGACGACTCAGAGAGAGAAGGCGACTCAGAGAGGACGACTCAGAGAGGACGACTCAGAGAGGACGACTCAGAGAGAGAAGGCGACTCAGAGAGGACGACTCAGAGAGAGAAGGCGACTCAGAGAGGACGACTCAGAGAGGACGACTGAGAGGACGACTCAGAGAGAGAAGGCGACTCGGAGAGGACGACTCAGAGAGAGAAGGCGACTCGGAGAGGACGACTCAGAGAGGACAACTCAGAGAGGACGACTCAGAGAGGACGACTCAGAGAGAGAGGACGACTCAGAGAGGACGACTCAGAGAGGACGACTCAGAGAGGACGACTCGGAGAGAGAAGGCGACTCAGAGAGGACGACTCAGAGAGGACGACTCAAAGGACGACTCAGAGAGTACGACTCAGAGAGGACGACTCAGAGAGGACGACTCAGAGAGGACGACTCAGAGAATACGACTCAGAGAGGACGACTCAGAGAGAGAGGACGACTCAGAGAGGACGACTCGGAGAGGACGACTCAGAGAGAGAGGACGACTCAGAGAGGACGACTCAAAGAGGACGACTCAGAGAGAACGACTCAGAGAGGACGACTCAGAGAGGACAACTCAGTGAGGACGACTCAGAGAGGACGACTCGGAGAGAGGACGACTCAGAGAGGACGACTTGGAGAGGACGACTCAGAGAGAGAGAGGACGACTCAGAGAGGACGACTCAGAGAGGACAACTCAGAGGACGACTTGGAGAGGACGACTCAGAGAGAGAGGACGACTCAAGAGAGAGAGGACGACTCAGAGAGGACGACTCAGAGAGAGAAGGCGACTCAGAGAGGACGACTCAGAGAGGACGACTCAGAGAGGACGACTCAGAGAGGACGACTCAGAGAGAGAGGACGACTCAGAGAGGACGACTCAGAGAGTACGACTCAGAGAGGACGACTCAGAGAGGACGACTCAGAGAGAGAGGACGACTCAGAGAGGACGACTCAGAGAGAACGACTCAGAGAGGACGACTCAGAGAGGACGACTCAGAGAGGACGACTCGGAGAGAGAGGACGACTCAGAGAGGACGACTGGGAGAGGACGACTCAGAGAGAGAGAGGACGACTCAGAGAGGACGACTCAGAGAGGACAACTCAGAGGACGACTTGGAGAGGACGACTCAGAGAGAGAGAGGACGACTCAAGAGAGAGGACGACTCAGAGAGGACGACTCAGAGAGGACGACTCAGAGAGAGAAGGCGACTCAGAGAGGACGACTCAGAGAGGACGACTCAGAGAGGACGACTCAGAGAGGACGACTCAGAGAGAGAAGGCGACTCAGAGAGGACGACTCAGAGAGAGAAGGCGACTCAGAGAGGACGACTCAGAGAGGACGACTCAGAGAGAGAAGGCGACTCAGAGAGGACGACTCAGAGAGAGAGAGAGAGGACGACTCAGAGAAAGAGAGGACGACTCAGAGAGGACGACTCAGAGAGAGAGAGGACGACTCAGAGAGAGAGGACGACTCAGAGGCACCAGGAGGAAGAGCTACAGACGAGGAGCGGGAAGGCAGTGGTATTAAAATATTGGGACTGCAGGAGGAATCCGATGAGCTATAAAGCTCTTTATCACTGACGTCACAACGTGACCACAACACGCGGCGGGTAGCCGAGGGGTTGGTGGATCACACATAGATGTGGGGAAACTCCCTTCTTCAGAGGGGTTGGTGGATCACACATAGACGTGGGGAAACTCCCTTCTTCAGAGGGGTTAGTGGATCACACAGACGTGGGGAAACTCCCTTCTTCAGAGGGGTTAGTGGATCACACACAGACGTGGGGAAACTCCCTTCTTCAGAGGGGTTAGTGGATCACACACAGACGTGGGGAAACTCCCTTCTTCAGAGGGGTTGATGGATCACACACAGACGTAGGGAAACTCCCTTCTTCAGAGGGGTTAGTGGATCACACAGACGTGGGGAAACTCCCTTCTTCAGAGGGGTTAGTGGATCACACACAGACGCGGGGAAACTCCCTTCTTCAGAGGGGTTAGTGGATCACACACAGACGTGGGGAAACTCCCTTCTTCAGAGGGGTTGATGGATCACACATAGACGTGGGTAAACTCCCTTCTTCAGAGGGGTTGATGGATCACACACAGACGTGGGGAAACTCCCTTCTTCAGAGGGGTTGATGGATAGGCGTCAGTGTGCGTGTTTTTTTCCGGTAAACACTGCGCGTTATTTCACCGTTTCGACCGCGCCCGAGCAAAATATCCAGAAATAGGAGATTTCTGTCAACCTCAACTTCCAGGGTGAACTGGATGCATGGGTTTTGCGAGTTGAGATGATTTAGAAATTCTTTAAGTGTATCTTTGCTGTGTGGCCAGACCACCAATTTGGCATCCTTAATACGAAGGCTTTCGCGACCAATATCATCCATAATAGGTTTTTTGGGTAAATATATAAATAATGAATATATAAATGTCGTGTCGTTAAACCCGCCACCACCCGACACAGCCAACTAGTAAGGTTAGTAAAACTGGCTGTCGCCTGATGAAGCTAGTTGTAATTATTGGCGAAACGTCGTACTCAGATTGCAAATGTTGTGTTTACGCGACAAACCTTACTAGTTGGCTGTGTCGGGTGGTGGCGGGTTTAACGACACAACATTTATATATTTACGCGATTTAACCCAAAAAAACCTCTATGATGAATGTGTCATCCACACATCTAAACCAAGCAGATGGTTTTAGTGCGCCTGAAGCTACGGCTTTTGCTTCAAAATCTTCCGTGTACAAATTCGCAATCACAGGAGACATAGGAGAGCCCATTGCTGCGCCTTCCTTTTGTTTATACGAATCACCTTGCCACAAGAAAAACAAGTTCTTGAGTGTTCAGCCGGTCGTGGGATATCTCTGGCTCAACCGGTGTTCGTTATCATAGTGTCGAGTAATTCAGCTGACTCGTTGAACACCTCGTGAACAGAGTCACATCGCTGCCTGCAGTGTAGGCCACTCCGCAGACAATGTGACATTGTTATCACGTGTGTTTGTGTGCATGGTCCTTGTACTGCTAGCGAGGAGCAGCTCCTATTTAATAGGCCAGCACTGTGGCACACGAGGAAGGGTATAACCAGCGTAACGCCCGACCGCCTTTGTCTCTCCAATGCACACCAGACAAAGATCGCCCGCATAGCCTTAACAGACTGTAGGGGCAAGTGCTGTTAGCGAGCACCTATGAAGGCCGGAACGGCACACGAGGGGGTGGGTGGCCAACACCACACCTGGCCGCCTTTGTCTCCCCTGTGGCGATGTTTACTACACACCGCACCGGGTATTCATTTGAGACAATCGTCACAGGCGGTGTTGGCTGTGAGCGGGAATTCAACTCGGGACGTTGGGTTCGTAGCGCAGCGTAGCGCTAACGACTACACTACCGCTCCCCACACACACACAAGTACACACACACATGTACACACACACGTACACACACACACGTACAAACACACGTACACACACATACACAACAACAACAACCACCATTCGCCACTAAGTGGCGGTGACATTACCACGACGCTTGTGCCAGGCCATGTGCACTTTGAGGCCACATGAAGTGTCGAACGCCCGCTGGAAGGAGGTCACGGGGCAGACCCAAGTGCCACGGGTCGACT